CTAACATAACATTGAAGTTTTTGCTTGAAACTAACAAGAAGTAAGCCCTAGGCTGGCAGAAAAGAGGGGACTCTATAGATAACCTAAAAATGGTTCTAATAGAACATTGAACAAAGTCGTCGTTGGATGTCCCTGATATTTTCTGATTAAAGATCACATCTGCCTTTTAACATTTCGCTACTCGAAAAATCTAGAGACTAGTGTACTTTGTGTTGTAACGTTATATCGATGACTGCGACACTTCACGAGGTATAGTGTTGTGAAGCGAAATTCTACCTATTTTGGTTTTCCTTTCAATTATAGATGAACTTGAGATTGTGCTAAGTTGGTATGTTTATTTTACATTGTAAAGTTGGTAACTTTGACCGAGCTAACCTCGAGATCTGTATAGGTTTTGAGAACAATGTTGATAAGAATTAAACTGTTTTGAGACAAGCACCTTTCTCAAACCAAAAAATGGGGCCACTACCCGTGCTTTATCTAGTTCAGTTGTGTGACGCAAACTGGGAGGAGATTAGTTTTATCTGCCATAGAGACTGTTTTAAAAACAGCCAGCGAATGCAGTCGTTTGTCCTTGTTCCTCGACGCTTGGGACGGCGGAGGAGCAAGAAGGAACGGCTGTATTAGCAGGCTATCAGTAGAGACTAGGGGACCCTCAACTCAGTGTTACGTTTTATACTTCACTCAGTCTCGGACAACAAGGTAAAGTATTCATGAAATTCTTTTCCTTAGTTTTTATACAGGAAGTGAAGCAGTTGACAACCGAGAAAGTGAAATCGATATTGCTTTTCTGAAAATGGTCAAGGAAAGGTTGTCTGCAAATGATTGGGTTTCCATTCGGTTTCACTTTTTGTTTTTCACTTTGGGATCCAAGCTACTGGTCTTGATCGTTTTCTTTTCAGTTATCTTCGATTCCGTTTTTTTTTTCTTTTCCATTTTCGTGTTCTTGTTTCCTACCCTAGTGATACGTTTCTGATGTGTAGTAGGTTCTGTAGTGTCCGTTTTGTTCTTTTCGAGACTGCCGGTCCTTTAATTTTCAGCAGATGGTCTGACTCCAACAGTGGGGTTGTCCCCACAGTTGAGTTGTACCCAAAGATGGCCAGTCAAAATTTTTAGGTAATAACCTTGGCCCAAATTTGTAAGAAGACGCATAGCCTTTAGCGACATTACCTTTATTTGACCCCATACGCCGTAAAATAATTGACAAGTTGAAATAACCGTGTAAGAAAAGAACTGTAACCAGAAGCAGAAAAGAACAAATCTAAAGCCAAACCGAACCCACTTATCTTTGGACAATTCTTGGACGTAATTTAATACATACACCACAATCAGTGCTCCAAGGTCGTCAAAGATGTACAGACTGATGGTGGCCCGAGCGATTGCTTTGTATGTACCTAAGCAGGGTTCTATCTAGGGTATTTGAGGGGTAGAAGCTTCCCCCAAAATGCCCAGCTTCCCCTAAAAAAATATCGGAGCTAAGTGTAACATTGTCAGAACGTGATCACGACGAGATTGAATCTCAGCGCATATTCATTTCAAAAAATTTCCGGGGGAGCATGCCCCCAGACCCCCCTAGGAAGCTCGTGACCTTCGGACACTCGGGACTTCTCTCCCAAACGATATTTCCTAGATACAGCTGTAGATAGAACCCTGCTAAGTGATCTTCGTCCAAAAGAAAAAGAACAAAGCGCCAGACACTGAGACTGTAAAACAGGAGTGGTGGCCAAGTATACACCCTGTCATTCCAAACCACTTTCCAAATATGTCCTTGAGTTCGTCCCTTTTCAGACGCCTGAGGGAAATTAAAGCCACAAATATCAAGCGACTCAGCAGCTCTGAGCAAACAAAGGCCAGTTCCACATTCATTGCAGTTTGGTGGGGATTATGGACGTGCCGTTTTCACATTGGTAATGAGGAAATGCACACTTTGGGCGCAATAATAGGTTTGATAGTCGTAGATTCCAAGTTCAGCTAGTCCCAGCAGATTAAGAGTACAAAGAATGACAAACAGAATCGTCCAGCGCAAGTAGCAGAGGCTCCAGTCAGATGAATTCGACGTTGGCCTCAGTGCAGTATCATCCAGTCCGTTTGTTGCTTGCTTTTCTTCCCTCGAAGTTGGCCTCTGTGCAGTATTATCTTGTTCGTCTGCTGCTTGCTCGTAGCCCCTTGCCTCCTCTAAGCGTGCGTATACCTCCGTGTCTCTCTTTCTCTTACGTAGCTGGGTGAGATTTTGTCGGAGGGAGTGAAACAGCTCCGCAGCATACTTCCGTATGGAAGACAGATTTTGTCTGAATCCATGTACGACTAATTCAGTCAAACCAGGACGGTGGAGGTCTGTCTTCGTGGCATAATGTTAACCTAATTATTCTGCTCCATGTTAATATACCCGCGGATTCTTGTATCTGCCGCCGGATTTGACGCGAAAAGCGGTTTAATATGTGCAAAGCATTATTAACTGTCATGTCATCTATTTTTAAGATCCTTGAAATGTGTGCTGACGTCATGCCTATTTCGTTGGTTGCACGTGGACGACGAAGGAAAATGACAAAGGAATTTGGCGGGCTATTTCGATGGAGTATAAAGCTGGAGGGCTTGATCCAGGGGTGTAATAATTGGTTTGTTTTTGTTTCTCCGTGTTTCTATTAGGGCTACTGAGGCTACGTTTATTAAACATAATATTTAGCTATGTACTTCCTTTGGATTTTTTTATAACTCAGAATTTTCGAGCAATGAAATAGAATAACATATAAATGAGATAAAGATATTTCAAGGTCCGATTTTAATGAGCCGGGGAAAACCCCTAAAGACAATTGGGATTTTACTCGACTCGACCAATCAATCAGGTCCGGACGTTACAATGGCAACGACATGTTTTTTGGGCATTTTGTGTCATAGCAAATTCCGGGATACAAGGTCATTCGGTAAATGCATGAAAATCTCAACTACAATCAGGACAGTCTACAACAACCCACGACCCTGCCGTACACTAGTCGATCCTAATCGGATACTCTAACCACTGTGAGCTGCTGGATACTCTAAGCGATGAGTAGGTCGATTGTAAGCTTAGCCTCCCCGCAGACCTCTTTTGGGGTTCGTTCGTCACGCATTCATTTCTCCCCAACGAACCCCAAAGGACGTCTGCGGGGAGGCCATTGTAAGCTGGCATATCGCGCAGTCACATGAAAACACACATTAAATGTATCGCGTAGTCACGTAACTGAATAGTCTGAGAAACGAAGAAAGAAACAGACAACTTCATGCTGAATAGTATTCGTATCTGTAATCAAATGGTGACGGGTAAAATTAGGGAATAATTTCACGCGCGTCTTTTCCAAATTCTATTATAATTAATCATTCAAAATATTTTGACGTTTCTGATTGGTTTCAATCCCGCGGCTAATTCTTCATACCAACTGGCACTTACCATATTTGAAAGATGCGAGCAATATACCATCGATTCGATGGTGTATTTGACTGGAAACGAGGCTTCTTGGGCAACAGTAAAGTAAAAAAAAAAATGGCGTTCACCGCTATTAGAAGACGAAATATCCGCTGGAATTCTGACTTAAACTGAATGGAAGAAATGCAAGAATACACAAAACATTGCTCAATGGCATGGCGTGGGCTTCTGTCAATGGATGTTATCTACTTTAAGAGGAGTATCTGCAAGCATTGTGAATAAGTTGTTCTGCACAACTTCCTTAAGCAAAATGGCTCAGTTTAAAGTTCAGTGTCCCGTGCTTTGTTATTGCGTGCAACTCTACCCACAATATTCCATCTCACCACTACTGTATTTGGTTTTACCCGAAAGGCAGACTGTTCTCTGTTCTCTGGTACATTTGATTGGAAACGAGGCTGCTTGGACAACAGTAAAGTAAAAAAAAATGGCGTTCACGGCTATAAGAAGACGAAATACCTGCTGGAATTCTGACTTAAACTGAATGGAAGAAATGCATGAATTAATACACAAAACATTGCTCAATGGATGTTATCTACTTTAAGAGGAGTATCTGCAAGCATTGTGAATAAGTTGTAATTTTGCACAACTTCCTTAGGCAAAATGGCTTTAAATGTCAGTGTCCCTTGCTTAGTTCTTGCGTGCAACTCTACCCACAACTCCATCTCGCCACTACCGTATGTAGTTTTATCCGGAAGGCAGACTGTTCTCTGTCACTTATTTATCCGTGTGATTGTCGAGAATGACCATCGAGGGAGAGGGTCGTCGCCGCCTATTTCCTTTTCGTAAACGGTCTTGGCCATTTTTAATAGTCGATGCCACCATTAGTAACCAAGCCTTTAATCATGATAGATGTAACATATTCCCTGGATTAAGATACAAAAGGCAAAAAATACGTTTTCGAAGTGTTAGAAAGAACGACGTGGGAGTCCAAGTTGTCGGTTGTGGGTCGGTGCGGTAGTGTTGCGATAACGGAGAGAGATTAGGATACGAAGGGTCCATAAAACACTGCACTCTCAATAACAGGTCAAAACTTTTTCAAGTGTCGTAAAAATGGTAGCGACCGTTTACAAAAGGAACAACGTGTCGCCTGAGAGAAGTGCAAATCGTCTTGGGCACATTTCACTCTCTCCGAACTCGGAATTCGATCGAACTCGACCTCAACATTTTTTCGCCAAAAATAGGAGGGCTGTAACCAATCAACTTATATAATCAAATGCACAACGACTTTGCAGAATATTTTCATTTATTTGTTTGCATGAAAATTAGAACTAGAGTTTTCTAAAATTGAAATTCTACATTTTGTTAGGAAAAACCTACGCCGTGACGTCACAGGTTACGACACGTTTGTTTGAGCATACGTATTTCTCTTCCATTAATTTAAAATCTAAATTAAATACTCCAGCTGGTGCAGCCAGTGGATAAAAAACAAGGACTATAAATACGAGTTTGATTGTTTTGAAGCAGTGTAAATTGCTCATTGGAATCATCTTGCGGTCTGTCGTGAGCGTGTTTTTGGTCGTGTCCATCAACAGTATTTTTGCTACTGGATCTTGGCCACTTCTTCCATATAAGCGGCCAAAACTTTAGTCTGTTGGTAAAAAGAAGAGAAACAGCGAAGTTTCAGTCACCAGAAAATAATGCAATACAGCGGCTTCACACGTGAAAAAAGCAAAAAAGCTATCGCGTGGTGCTAAGATGCTTCAATCACTTGTAAAACTTGTGGTTATCAACTGGATAAAAATTTAACAGTCGACAACTATTACTTCTGCAAAGCAGCCGTTCTTGTCGAATTATTAAATGATCTAGAAGTACCCATTATTTTGTTGTACAGTCAAGGCTGTATTAATAGGCAACCCTCTGCAGTGGAGCCTGGACATAACCAAGTGCCAAGGGACTGGCAAAATTTGTTCGCTAAAACGAGGTTTCGTTATATCCAGGTTCTTTTTCATATACTTTACTATAGCTCACTTCGGGAAAGAGTGATAGCTTGGAACCGAAACTAGGCGCGCGCGCATTTATGGGATTATTTGGGGGAAAGCGAATGTAAACAAACATAGCGGAAAGCGAAGTGGAATGTTTTAGCAGGGTTAAAACAGCTAAAGCTGAAGGAATATGTTCCTCGGGTAATTTCACCTTGAGAAAAACCAGAATTATGCACAGTGAAACAGCTTTAAATTAGCGCCCCGAAGAAAATGTACACATTCTGCTGATATTCTCGCTGGAAACGTCTTGCCTTTGGTATTCTATAAAATGCTAGACCAGGGGAGTTCCTGAAGTTATTTGTGCACAAAGCCACACAACATCTTGCATGTCTCGTCATAATTCAAGGTGACTTGCTCGACTTGTCCCACCAAACAATCCCATACTTGCGTTCGCGCTTAGTTTGAGTCCCAGGCTATCACTCTTTTCCGAAGTGAGCTATTATTGGGGTCAACAAAATTGGTCATTATACCGAGGACTTCGTTATAGAGAGCGGTTCGTTATATCGAGGTTCCACTATATTGAGCAACTTGTTGCCTCGAGCTATCTCGGAATTTTTTCACGAAAAACGAGGCCTTGGTTTTAAGATACCTAGAAAATAAAATAAAAAGCAATTACTTAACGCTCGACTCGTTTATAATCTGCTTGTTCGCTGAAAATTTACTCGAAATTTCTCTGCGATCTCGTCCACGTGCGTTTTACGTGATGTCATCGCACAGGAGTATACCCCAGATGATAAGAAAACCAATCGACTGCGCACGTTTCTGATCTTACATCCGACAAATTTGGGTTTTTACCGCTATTGTAGAGAATAGTGTGCTGTCTCGCATAAGGCTCGCCAGCAACAATCTATCATTCAAGAATAAGGGAGGAGGGGAGGGGGTCACCAACTGCTGATAAACAAAGACTTATTTTCAAAAGAAAGGTCCTACAAAAGGGGAGGGGGTCACCAACTGGTTTCGACCTACCACTTGGGATTTTAAACCGAGTTAGCATTTACCGTACAAACTGGCATGTACAGATATCTTAGAAATGGTTTTAAGAGATATAAAGCATGTCGTCATTGAAAAACACAAAGATACTCACTCCCTCTATGTAGTTCTTTCGATCCATCTTCTCGTTCTGCGAGTGCGCGCCATCATCGCATGCACCCAATGGCAGAAGCACAACATTCTTTTCAGTGGCTTCCTGCAAAGTTAAAGTCACGGGGATGCTTCCACCTTCACGGGTCATGTCGGGGTCAGTTCCAAATACTGCAGTAAAGAAGAGAAGAATACAGTAGGTAGGTCCCATCTCACAGCACTTACACTTATCTGGTTCTTATGGGACGTAAAAGAACCCACACCACTGTTCGAAAAGAGTAGGGGACGTAGACTAGGTAGTGTGGTCAAGCTTCACACACCACATCATTCACATCATGGGTTGGGTGGGTACAGTAAGCTCATAAATGGACCGAGGCGGCTGCCAGTAACGCCTTTGTATACTGACGTCCGAGCTTACTGTTCACATGTTAATATATATTGTAAAGAGGGCACGTCTGTTGTCCTCTCATCCATGACTCCTTCTTCCCTTCCTTCCTTTCTGCCATGCTACAGTATTTTCATAACCGAGCCACCCTTCTAGCCGAGCCAACTTCTTGTTTCTTATGTAACGCTTCTCCGAGTTTTGCACGGAAATGTACGAAAAGTTGTCTCGCCCAGGGTAACTCGGGTAGGTGAATGACCCTTCTACCAAGACATGTTTTCTCCAAATCAACGGGGCCTAAGACGAACCTGTTTTGAGTGCTCTCCTGGCTGCTTGGTAGTTAGCATGGTTGTAATCACTCACCCATGGCCGACCTCCATGTCCCATTGTCACGCTGAAAGGAAAGACGCAAAATGTTAGTGACAAAGGCGATTCGAAAGCATATGACCTTCAGGGCCGAATTGTTCACGGCTAGGTTAAGATAACCCAGGGTTAGTGCGAAATTTGAATTCAGATATGGAAGCTTATGAAGTAATTTCAGTTTTATTCCTTTTTGTCAACAAGTTCATGATTGGATGCTCTTAAAAATAAAAGAGAAAATCATCCGAGAAAATGCTTTTGAACAAAAGAAATAGACACCCGGGTTAAATTTACCCCTGGCTTAAGCGCCAATCGGCCTTCGAACAAGTGGGCTCTGGTTACTAGTCCAGATGTTCTACCACTGAGTCAATGGAGAATTGTTGGAGGTACTTGGTTCACGCGACAAACATCCAGCATACTGCTTCTATAAGTGACATATGCGCAATGAATTATATGCCTAGTGAATAAATGAGAGAGACGTCTCCATTCAGTGACAAGCAGGCGATCCAAAAAAGAAAAGAAAAAAAAATTCACAATCAACAGTCGGCTCGTGAGAGGAATTTGTTTTGCGACAATCATACATACATACTTATACTTTATTTATACTCGAAATTTACAGAGTAGCTGTAGAGCTAATATATTCGAGAAAATAAGTTAAAATAAAATAAAATATGCTATATTACAATTCCAATAAAAAGAAAAATGATTGCTACCATTCCCTTGTGAACATGAGACACTAAATTTCTTGAGCGAGTTAAATTTTGCAGATGGACGCTTTTTAGTGCATGGTAATCAGGTAAAATGCGGCAAGTTTCTCTCTCCGTTGACTTTCTTGCTGTACAACAACTGGTCACATATAGCCTACGTGTACTCGGACCCTGCCCGTGAACCGAGAAAGTTAAAAAACGACGAGCGGAAGCTCACATAACGAGATTCCCGCGAAAAAATTGGCCAGCACCTCTGAACACAAGCTAGGACCTGTGACACTATGACAGTCGCGTCGTCTCACCCGCTCTTTTGAAGATCGTGTTAACAATGCTGCATCACGCACACGGCTGATTCAATATCGGGGATGTAATTAAACAGCTGTCGCCATGAGTTTATAAGTTCACTTTTAATAAAAAAAATATTCTATATATTATGAGTTACAGTGAGATCAGTTAGATAAGGATTTTCAATGAACTTCGCCGTCCTCGTTGCCGTCGCTGTCGTCGTTGCTTAAGCTCCCTACTAATGTACCACTGAAAAGAATGAAACAGCGGCCATGTTGGTAAACCCAAAAATCCTCTGGGACTTGGGTTGGACTCTTTTCTCCTCGCGTAAAAAATTTCTTTTCTTTAAAAAAGTTGCTGACCACGTGAGTGAAAGTGATCTGTGCTGTATCATTGGGCTGATTTAGCAACAGAACGTGAACGTCATTTGACGACAGCAAAGCGCGCGAAAAGGACTAAACTCTGCTTCCGGTGCTCAGTTTGCCGCTCAGCCATTGGTCAAGTCAGTTGCTTGATTTGCGCCCGCCGCCGTCGACTGACGTTCCCGTTCTGTTGCTAAATCAGCCTAATATGATACTACAGCCACGTTCAGGTTGTTGCAGGCTGCGAAAGCCTGTTGCAGAAAGTAGAGAGGAGTTCTACATTTTGCTGTACATGTTGCGCGTTTTAGCGACCCAAGGCAAACTTGTTTTGCAGCAAGTGACCTAACTCCCGTGTATGGAGTGACTCCCGCGTAATTTTATCCAATCAGAATTTAGTATTCACGCAACTTTCAACACCCCTACCTGACTCGTGAGTGGTAAAACGTACAACATCGCCATTCGACTCGTTTTGCAGCAATGTTCCAACACATGTTGTTCGTTTTAACGTAGCTTGAGGAGGAAAATACATCGGTATTCGACTAGCTATGCGGCAGTGTTACAACACATGTTGTTCGTTTTATGTAGCTTGAGGAGGAAAGTTTCGAGTCGACACGAAGAACGGAAGAGTAGGAGACTACTAAGACTTTGACGCCAACAGAAATCACAAAACGATACAAGGCACAATACAGACACAGTTGAAAATACTTGCTAGGAGTCCCCATGTTACACAAAAAGGGGAGCAGGTAAAGATAGAAAGAGTAAACAATTATGCCTCGACAATAAAGTGAATTTAGCAAACCATAGACCATGGAGAGAGCCTAGGTGTGATCAACGAAAACCAAACAAATATTAAAAAAACAATTCAATGTCGTGCCCTTCTTCAAACTGGACCCTAAAAATTGATGTCTACTTCGGGTCAGCAAGTTGGCCCAGTTCTTCCAAGTACGCAACCAAAGCTTTAGTCTACAAAAGAAAAAGAAGAAAATAAGGAATTATATTTTTCACTTGCTTTCAGCAATTTGGAAAACGTCTTGCATTGCACGAATTAAAGAGTATCAGAGCATCAGCGAACATTTCCCTCAACTGATGTGCCGCGACGCTATCTCTCCTGTGTGACTTCCAACATGCGGAAGCATTGATAAAATTGTTTTCATGAGCAGAAGACGAGCAAAACTTACCCCTTGAACGTAATTTACAATGTTAATTTTCTCGTTCTGGGAGTGCGCTCCATCATCACACGCGCCGATTGGAAGGAGAACAATGTTCTTTTGCATTGCATTCTGCAGGGCTAATGTCACAGGGATGCTACACCCATCACGAGTCATGTCTGGCTGCACGCCATGAACTAATGAAAGGAAATACAAAGCGATAAGCAACACGATACAACAATTCAGCAGGATAGGATAGTTAGATTATTATCAATGCTGCGTTCTGTAGTAGCGAAAAGCGCCGGCTTTGAAAACCAAAACAATGACGGCTAAATCGCACTTTGCTAGCTAAAGTTGTTTTGTCTCGATATTTTTTACCAACTAGTTGGATTTTACTAAAACAATTATTCCTCTCGCCCTCATGGCCTCTGAGTCAATAGCCCATTCGGCCTTCGGCCTTACAGGCTATTGACTCAGAGCCCATTCGGGCTCGAGGAATGATTGTTAAATAGTTAGAGTTTACAAAAACTAATGGACAAGTGGACTTTGTAATGTAATTTATTTCTCCTATAACTACAAAAATTATCATACAAGTGAACTTTCTAAGTAGTTTATTTAGTTTCTTCTGTTTTCGAAAAGCACTATAGCACTTGTTAAATAATATAGGCATAGCACCTAAATAGGCTGATATGGTGATTATATTATTGCATGTGTGTTTAGGCATGTAGTCAGTGTGTGTATGTATGCTATGTGATAATTATAGTAATTGAATAATTATAGTAATTGAAATTAAAAAACAACAACAACAAAAACAACAAAACAAAAACAACAATCTTGTTCTTACTGAATATGCCAACTAATCCCATAATTTCCCAATTTGATTTTTGTGACGTCATCACTTCTCTTCTCCATTGTACAGAATGGCGGGAAAAAGTTAAGTTGGACAGGTTGCTTGCCATGCTTCCTGCATCGCACTAGTTACGTTAGCGAAAAAAAAAAAGACTGTAACAGTTACTAACCAGTTGTTAAAGCTCTTCTAGCAGCTTGATAATTGACGTGGTTGATGTCGCTAACCCACGGTGGACCGCTGTGGTGTAAGCTGACCCTAAAAGTGCGTCACGCACGGTGTCAGGTCACGTACATCAACTGTGATCGAATTGCCGCGAACACTCTCAGATCACTCAATGTATTTCCCTGTTCCCTCGCCCTGTTACGTGGCGAGGTCTTGTATGTTCCTTTTTTGGCGGGAAAAACAGTCACACGACGCGCTTCCTGTTGGGTGGCGGTTGTTTATTATAACCAATTCAGTAGTTTTTTCGAACAACTGGAGACCTACTGGGTTCTCGCAAATACTCCAAATTTTTCATCAGACCACAGACTGATAAGGTCGCTGTAAGCCTGTTTGTACCATCGTGTGTAACACCCACATTTTTCAAGTTTAAGGGTCTTATTTACGCAACGATCAGAGCGAATTTTATAGATTTGAGTTAATTCTCGTCTATGCTGCTAAACTCAGTTTGTAATCGAATAAAAAACCTTATCGCAGTTTTCCAGTTTTCTCAGATACAAAACTATAACCAAATAAAATGTGTTTTTAAAATTGCTAAATCTTGAAGGGAAGCGATAAAATCTCGTTGAATACAAGCGACAAGCGACCAAACCAGAAAAATGTCGGTTAGTATTCTGTTCCGGCCTTAAACTCCTGGAGCTGGCAAGAGTAACTCGGAACAACACCACGATTAAATCTTTTACTGAAATACCTATTTCCCTGCTATTTGTGATAATACCAGTGAAACGGGCGATGTGAAGTTTGAAAATTGCACGGTAATTGGCCTTCGTTTAGAATACACTAAACCAAGTTCTTAAGCCCAATAAGCCACTACGCAAACGCAGCGACCTCACCAGATTGCTCCAGATTCCCGAGTATTGGTATGTCCCCCCCGTCGCCATTAAATGTACACTTGTGCTGTGTTCACCCTCGAAGCATAAAAATGCTTCATTAACAACACAGGCCGGCTTTCTAACGTGGAGTACCTGTTGCAGCAAAACCCATATCTGACAAAGTTGGTGATGAATAACATTTTGACAGTTGAGAACTTTAACAATTTGCCTAAATTGCTAAGATAGTTTATGAAACATGTTTAGTCCGCACATTCAGTGCTTGTGTGATTTAAAGGGGTTCTCCAAAAGTTCCGGCCACTGTCTAATATCGTCGTCTAGTCATAAAGCTGAATAAAGGAAGAAGAAGCGCCACCATTTACAGAAAAATATATATGTTTTTCTTTTTTGAGGAGACTGAGGATAAAAAATTTATCGCATTTGTTTCGCACATTTCGCTGGATGAAAGGAAACAAGATTTAAAGTATAACCAAATGTGGGTAAATAAAGATGCTATCCTCATGGCTAAAATTATTTCCCTGGTCGCGCTAAATGCACTCAAATTCACTTTTCAGGGCTCACAATTCTAAATTGTTACCAGGCCCCCAGATACCTTCTATGGAAGGGGAGGGGGTGATCCCTATTTCCACACCTACCCCCAACATAAAGCACCTTTCCACCAACACGCTGCCGCCTACATTATTTTTTTCCCCTTACTTCTGGATATTTTCCGGAGAGCCCTTCTAAGCAGCGAAAGCAACGCTCGGAAGGATCCTTGCTTCAAGACCCAAATAAAAATAAAAACTCTACCGACTACAGTCAATCAATAAAAGAATGAACTGGTTAATCAAACTGGTTTTTGCGTTTAATTCTGCTCGAAATTGTTAAGATATGTCAGGCTAAAGATGATGCCACAGAGAAAGATTCGCAACAACGACCTCAGCGCAACGGTGTTGCGTTCAAAGTTGATGCCGTGTAACGTGGATGCGCGGACAATTTCCTGCACAATTCTTGCGTTGCAAGTTCATGAACAGGCGTCAATAACTCGCAACGCCATATGACTGATTTCGCTAAATATAAGAAAGCGGCCGAGGCAATTGTAAAGCGATAAAGGTAGCTAACAAAATGATAAAATTTCCCTAGTGTGAAACAAGTGTGTTACAAGCTAAGCTGTTTTCACAGCTCATCCTCCATAAAACAGCGGCCAGAATTTCTTGAAATTCTTTCACAAAATTTTAAAGGCTTATTACTTACTTTAGAGTATTTGGGCTTCCTCTTTTTTCATGAAGTTCCTTGATATACTTGAAAACTTGTTCCTTGACGGTTTCAGGTGTCATATTAGGTACTAAACGGATTGAAAACTTGCCAATCACCTAGAACAAATGAAGGCGTTAGTTTCAACAGAAACTNGGGGGGGGGGGGGGGGGGGCGATTGTAGCACAAAATAATTTGATCGGTATCAGTTCGTTTGGCCCAAAGGTCGATTCACCCAGCGGCAGTTCGTCCGGACTTAAGGCGATTCGCCCAATGTGTACTGTATTTGTCGTCCTTGAAGTGGTACCAGGGCGTTTCGCCCGGACGTAAGCCGATTCGCCCGATAGTTTTTTCGCCCAGACGTAAGTCGATTCGCCCGATGTTTATTTGTCGTTCTTTAAGCCTGAAAAAATGAAAAAGTGTGAATGACAGTGCCTGCACATGTGGATCAACAACTTTTTTCAGTGAAAACTTCACACCAAATAATTTTATATATTAAAGATCGACTTTGCGATCTTTGCGATCGCTGACGTACATATAGACCACTAAAAAGGAAGTAAAAAGGCAGTTGACTGCATATGTGGCTCAAAGGCTTTTTTTAAACTGATTCACGTAGTCGTCAATCGTAGCAATGGTATCCAAGCTTAACTAATTTTTATCTGAGGGAAATTTTTAAAATGAAAATCCGGATAAAGTTGAAAACTGATAAAAGCTTTCGACCTCCACTGACATCTTAAGTTCACGTCTGCGCCAGCACAACACCTTCTGACGCAGAAGTGAACAAGACTTCGGTTGAGGTCGAAAGCTTTTATCAGTTTTCAACTTCAGAGATCCGGATTTCAAGTTTAAAAATTTTGCTCATAGTTTAAATTTACCGAATTGATGAATCCAAACAAGTCTAATTTTTACCTGACGCAGTCAGCCAAGTATTGACCACCTGATTGGAATATCGTAAACAAGCACAAAAGCAACACATACGCACCTTTCTGGGAATGACTGTTTTCGAACCAGGTTCATAGAAGGCACCTTCAATGCCTGAATAAAGAAAACAAAGAAAAGGTTTTCTTTGCGGTTGTTGTTGCTGTGGGCCTTTTCGATGGGCGACTGCTGAAGCTAATTAGTGTCTGACCACCTCAATGGTTTTCAACTTCCAGTGCGAGAGATGGTAAGAGTGGATATTATTAGGGACCTTAAGATCCGACGACAGCGACGGCAACGACTTTCGAAATAGCAATAGGTTTAATAAAAAAACAACAACTTTGCACTTGAAGCAAACTTTTTTGTACATTTCCTTGCGCGGCGCCACTGCACGACATGACTTGAAAACTGACGCCGCCTACTTTTTTTATGGAAGAGGTAAACAAGCCACGACGAAATTTTCTTCCTCTTTTTGAACTTGTTTATGGAGGAGAGGGGAGAGAAGACGGGTGCACAATGTTTTGTTCTCCAATTATTATTGACCATCCAAGCTAATCAGTCAGACAAACATTTTACTTCACAAGGTGGAGAGAACCTGTTTCTTGAGCAGTGAAATTAGTAACCGGCAGAAAATTATTTTATAAATTATAGTAAGGCATACCATGAATGGAAAGAGAGGGGTATCGCCAGCGGTGCATTAATACTTCCTCCTTTGTATCGTGGATCAGTTTGTTGTGACCAATGTCTTCCCGGTACTCCTCCTAAGAAACAAAATGTTTGTAAACAATATTTGTCATCACAAGTATCACAATTTGCAGGGACCTGTTTTGACTCTCCATTACTTAAACGCCTCGAACAGGTTAGGTTTGAGAAAAGTACAGAATCACGGAGTGGGTCTCTTCCTGCTAAAAATAACAAACAGACAAATAAACAAATGTACTAGTAAAGCTCCTTTAAGTTATCTCTAATCTTATGAGATTCTCTCTGAACATATGAGCGCCAAAGAAAACCGCCCGGAAAACTTTGAAAAAGTTCAAGTTTTTTAGGCCAGCTTACTATCGTTACACTCCTGTGATGATAGCGTAACAAGAGTCGTTTGGATGTTGAAAATCACATACCAAACCATCCAAGACATTTCTTTGGGAGAAATTCAAACAAGGGTTCGCTATTCCAAGATAGTAGAGGATTTCTTTTAACAATGGCCTTCAGACGAAAGTTTTAATATCATTTTTGTTTCCTAATTATGCACAAACAGTTTCTTCTGAATGTAACTTTCAAGTATGTGTGTTGCCTGCATAGCAAGCGTTTCCGTTTGGATTTGGAGCTAAGAAAGACAGAGGAACGGGATTTTCGGTTTTGGCCGCGCGCGCGATAAATGAAATGACAGAAACGTTTGCTACGCAGGCTAGTACGTGTGTTGAATAAGCGATCTTAGCATACTAGCACTTGCCTGCTGTAACCTAGCCCCCAAAAAACAGCTGACATTTCCCAACGCCACAACTGGTTTTCCCGCGAAATCATGTCTGAGGAACGAGAGAAACTCCATACTCATCCATACTGATGACTCGTCACTGCACTTATCTTGGCAGCGCTTCTGATTGGTTGTAGCCTGTTTCAGCGCTCCAAGATAGTTTTCCCCACTATCTAAGAGCCTGGAACAGGCTAGACTGGTTAAAGCAATTAGACGCCATTTCATGGGGAAACCAGTCCTGACATCGCGAAATGTCAGCTATTTTCTCGGGCTAGCCGTGGGCAATTATTGCTATTTATGTTGACACTTCAAACGCTTCTCCTACCACAAACCAAAAACTTCAAAAAAAATTTTTTGCTTTAATTGTGCTGAATGATACAATGACAGGTTTACAAACAAGTAAGACATAAAACGGTTGATAGGGAGTTTGTTAGCAAATAAACGATCCAACAAATCCTATAAACTCATTACTCACTTTGTCAAAATCAATGTCTGTGTAAGTTGCTCTCTCGTCATCAGTTAAAGGAGCCACATCTCTGTTGACTTCTGGGATGATTATATTACCTTTCAGGTCTACTAACTGATCCAGCAGGTAAATAAGGTCTGACATGGCCTCATGTCTGCATGTGTACAGAGAAATATTTTAAGAAGTATTCTAAGGGTAGCAATTTCAGCCTCAAGGATAACCTGTGAGAATTTGGCATGGAATTATGCCCACAAAAGTGCTTTACACAATGTATTTCAAGGAAAGTTTTTGTTTTGGCTAAAGAGTTGCTGCAGGAAGGGATTATTTTTCCCTTGAAACAAAGAAAAAATCTCTAGCACCATAGCTTTTCAAGACATGCTGCATCTCTGCCACCAAATAGCACTCCAACCTGCACTCTGACCCTACCAGCTAGCTTTGCACTCTAATGTATGTACAATAAAATCTATTTCAGTTTTCATAGCCAACCGGTAGGAGTGTCAGATTTGCAGCATAGAGATGCAGGGCAATCTTGGAAATGAAACGGTTTAAAATTAAGTTACCACTTACACGGTGCCACCAAAAACACCAGAATGTAGATCCTTTGATGCACAAGAAACCTCGATATTGAAATAGCAGATTCCTCTGTGGATAGAAAATACATCTCTTCTTCATTAGTGCTCAATGTAAAACTACAGTTTGACAATGACAACATGATTTTTAGATCTAATTGCATCATTTAATCTAATCTCTCTGACACCAACACCCACGCTTTTCATACTGGCCACAGTTGTTCAAGCCGTGGATAATTCTGTTATGTAATGTTCTGTCTTATATATTTCTTCTGTCCAAGCCATTTAAGTGATGCAAGACTTTCTTGCATGTGAATGTTCTTCAGATCTTATTCCATTAAACAACCGACTCTAAGCTCTCTCAACTCTGACACCAAAATTCATGCTTTTCATACTAGCCCCAATGAGTAGTCAAAAGGTGGATATGTGCTATTAATAGTTGTCTTACCGCAAACCATAGGTGATGCAAGGTTTTCTTTTGCCAAGCCAATAATTGTCAGATATACACACATAATCAACATTCTGAAAAAAGAAAATCAAATGTATCAAATTACTCCATAATTCCACATATATTATAATAATTATAAAATTCTTTTAAAGATTTTTCCAACTTCAGTAAGGCCCTGAGTTCAAATGTCGAACTTTTCATGTACCACACCTAATCCCTCCTATTAAGTACATTAAGAGATCAATGTTTAAATCGTGAATGAGGTTCGACATATCTTATTTGGGTCGACCCATGATTGACAATCAAGTAACCCATATTAGAATTTCAGCTGTGGAGGGACTTTGATTCAAACATCAAACTTCTCATGTGCCCATACAACCCTCTGCATAAATTTAAAAATTTATTTTCACTGGCAAGCAATGTACATCATTTTACATCATGAAAATGAATTGAGTCCAAGTAATTAAGTCCGAATCAGCTGTCAAACCTATACAATCTGGGTCGACCTAACTAGGTATTAAGTACAGTACATGAAAAATTTGACGTTTGAACTGGGCTTAACTAAAACAAACCTTGAAGAAGGTATCTTTCTTAGCATAGATCAGCTCATCTAAGCCCTCACTGCCTGATTCCTCCATCCCTTCAAAGACAAACTGCAAAAAACAAATTAGCCAACAAATTCGTTTTTATGTCTCAACCTGTCTAAAACAAGATAAACTTGCCACAATCGGTGACAACATAATGGGGTAAGTTTGGAAGAACAAAACAATCAATACCCCTCCCCCTCCCCTGCATTTAAAGTTCGGGGGTTTGTTGTTTTCTACAGGTAGCTCAAACAGCAGCACAGCATTGCATGGAGGGGGTGGTTAAACCTTAGAGAGGCCCTTTAGGGCAAAGTATCTCAACTAATTTTGTTGCGGATTGTATGTTGTACGAAGTGAGAGACAAAAACATGTAACTCAACTTTCATCCGTACCTTAAGATGTTGCTTCTGACCATGCAGTTATTAGAAGGAGATAGGTCAATTTTTTAAAATAATAATAATTGTTAATTAAAAAAGTATAAATATTCCTTTTTACCCTTTGCTTGCCTATCACCAGCAACGTGTGATGAAGTCACAAAATTGTAGGTCGAATTTGACTTGCAAAATTTTCTGCATAATTAATAGACCTTTTGTGTCACTTAATATGACTTCCTGGAAACAAGATACTGCATACTTTTTGACAACTAAGGCCCAGTTCAGATGCCAAACTTTTCATGAGCTGAACCTAATACATTGAATTAAGTACATGAAAAGTTTGGCATCTGAATCAGTAAGGAATGCCTTTTTCAATTTGGAACGGTTCAGGCATTCTTTTTGCCTGGCCCGGCTCGGAATTTCACCTTTAGAGCGACTTTGGAATGCCTTTGATTTAGACACCGAACTTTTCATGTACCGAACCTAATGCATAAATTATTATAATGTATTTTGTAAGTAGTTGGACCAAAATGAGCATTTTATTTTTCTCCTTTGAATTTAGTTCAGCAGGAATTAAGATTGGCATCTAAATCACTTCAGTTGGTCTAAATAATTTGGGTACGCCTTAATTCGAATTAGGTTCAGCTCATGAAAAGTTCGGCATCTGAACTGGGCCTAATTCTTCACACNATAAATATAAAACACAATACCCCAAAAAAAAAAAAAAAAGTTAAAAATAAAAAAAAAAGAAAAAGGGGGGGGATGGTGGGGGGGGGGGGTAAACCCCTTAAACCCCAAATTGGGGGGCTTTGGGTTCAAGCGTGGGGTTTTTTGCTTTTTTTCTTTAGAAAAGAAAATTTATTTTTTTTGGCCCCCTTTCCCGGGGGGGTAAAAAGGGGTCTTGGAAAAAAAATGGGGGTTGGGGGTCGATGTGGGTTGTGTGGGTGGTTTTGGTTTTTTCGTCAGAACGACGCGATTGTGGTTGTTGCTTTGGGGCGGGGGGGGAGGGGGAGGGGGGGGGGGGGTGGGGGGGGGGGGGGGGGGGGGGGGGGGGGGGGGGGGGGGAGGTGACCTTGCGATGGTCTGGCATACACCATCCAGGGGGAAATAGCAATTCTCCTAAGCAAGCTCATTGTTAAGAGACCTGGGATAAGCTCCGGCCGCTTGGACCTTTGGCTTGATTCCTTCTTTACCTTTGCCTAGGATGAAAATAATAACCCAAATGTATACTGGGGTATAGAGTGATACCTTGAAAAATGTGGGTCTCAGAAAATTTTGGGCCGATCTCGAAATCTCGGAGGAATGTTTGGAGGGTCTCAAAGTCTCATTTTAGGTTGATTTTTGCATCTTGGCATCACAAATTCCTTTTTTGCCTGTAGACTGGTCTCAGATTTGTTGTTTTTTCTTTCCATTTGGTCTTCAGGAGTTAAATTTTTCAGAGTTTGTGGATACAGCTTATCGAACTGAGCTAGGAGATTAATAAAACAGTAAAAGAAGACAAAGTGGTATATTGGTGGGCTTCCGCTAGCTTCCATTGGCATTTTCGGTCATTTTATTTAGCTTTATTTGTACCATTATCATGAAATCTTCAGCACTTTGAGTCTCCAGCTCGGATTATTTAGAAGTAAAGTCTTGGGCTCGGAATTGATAACAACACTTAAGTTTCAGTCTTGAATTTTGAAACCAGGGTCTCCCAGTCTTGCAAAGTCTCGAATTTACCTTTTGTTTCCCCTTTAATAACCCTGGAAACTTATAATATTAAATTTTTTTCCCTATAAATCTGTGAAGCCCATGCATGAGTTACCTTATCATCTGTAGATCCTCTGCCATATAACTTGCCGTCAACTTCTGTCAACACAAAAGGTTTTGTATCCCATCCATCATCCTACAATAAAATTAATATGAAACTTCAACTTGTGTTATTCCATTGTTACATTAAGAGGATATTAAGGCATGGCTGGCATGATTTTTTCCCAGTATTGAAAAATTTCTTAAAACCAAATTACATTGAGCTACATGTACATGCTGTCAAAAGATCAAAATATTAATTTCCAACTGAATTACTTTGACGAAAGCTTGACCACTGTTGAGTTTCACATGTGAATTCACCAGGGGCACCCAACAAGAAAATAGTTCAAAACCACTTAAACATAGCATTGTTAAACGTATTTTAGTATTTAAACAGCAGATATAGGCATATTTTTATCCTCTAAGAATTTTTCATCTGTTCGAATTTCCTAGCTGAAGGACTAGTGATCTGAAAATTATAGGGATCAAAACTTACCTTTTTGAAACTTTCAGCGAGAAAAAAGGTTCCCAAAAATTCTAGATGACCTTTTTAGGGTAAAAATCCGTTAAAAATGGGCAATTATACCATTTTTTAGATGTTCGAAAATCCTAGGAGAGGCGGGCAAGCAAGAAATTTTACAACAAATGTTCTGAAAATTCTCGATCTCAAATCGTCTTCAAAACAGATATTTTCTGAAGATTGACATTGGGTGCCCCTGAATTCACTGCTTACTACGCATGCAGAAATGCAGAGATGAATCTGAAATCTACAACTACCAATGGATTCAAATTTAATAGAACACCAGTAATAAATTCATTAATGAGATCTTGGGAGCTATGCTTGACCTGGGTTGGTTGTAAAATTCAAATGGGTCGGCCAATACCATTGCCTTGTTTAACATGGATTGAGTTATATATAATGCCATGGGTATTTCTAATTCTAGAGCTGAGGGTGTAAGCTGCAACTACCTGACTGTTTAAGCAAAGGCAGAGCTAAAAAAAATATTGTGTCTCCCTTCTATTCCCCAATGCAATAGGGCTGTATGTTAAAAAATCTGACAGTTAGCTAGATAGACAATATCTTACTGCACATTCACAAGATATTATTGAAAGACAGTTATCTAGGTTCCAGTTATGATAGTGGTTGCTTGCCCAGCCTTAAACAGAATCCATACTGTGAATCTCTGCCCTCTTAATTTTAATTAAAATATCTTACCAGTTTTGCTGGTTGAACATCAAGATGTCCATAAATACACAACTAGAAGAAGTAAATTAATGGGATTGATTAGCATATTTTTTATAACTGTTAATATAAGTTATTTTAGACACTGACAATAACATAACATGATAAAGTTTTCAAGTTTACTGTCTTCATTTATGGACAACCAGAAATACTTTCATAAATACTTTCATTGCACTCATAAATGATAATTTTTAGCAATTTTTTTTTTTCATTTTTAAAAAATAATACATGTTTGGGATTGTCCTTGAATAATTATGTCAAGGGTAATATATCCATCCTCAGGTAAATTAAGCCAGTTTTTAGTAATAGTCATGATATCATGATTCTGAATCTCACTGTTTCAACATAGCCCTTTAGGCTTGTTGGTAAGCCTAAATTATTTCAGGCTTTAATTGTTTTTTCATCTTTCCCGGGTACATGCCAAATAAATGACCAGCCAGGGTCACATATGACTGAATGTTTCCAATAATACTTCGCAAGCATCTCAAATGGTTTTCTCTGTGTTTTAGAGGCTTGTTTGGTTAAAAACTATTTATCTGTTCAGCTGTCTTAGGGGAACTTTGGCCGTTTCGAAAGTTCTAGGTGGTTTTTTCATCTCATTCAAAACTGTTACCTATCCTGATAGGTCCGATTGAAAGTTCAAGGAAATGGAGTAGCCGTACTATGATAAGAAACTTCTAGGGGTGCTTTGTCTTTATACCAAAATTTTCAGGAGATGCTTTTTTAGCAATCATGAACAATACTCCCAGTAGCTTGGTAATAAAATGTGAAGAACAAAACTTTCAAAAATCGTAGATTGTAACAAAGTAGAAAAACTCCAAATATGTTAGCTGACTGGAACGGCTATCCAGAAGTTTTTAGCCTTTCTCGAACTTTAGAAATTTCTAGGCACTATTTGCTCCTTCGAGCAGTTATTTTACAGAAAAAAGTCATTGGGTGGCCCTGACCAGCTCTCAGCTGCCTTGCTAGCTCAATTAGTCAGATCAGCACGGCACTGATATCAAAGGTCAGGGTTCCTCGGCAAGCCTAAATTTTTTCAGGTTTTCTTTTTGCAACTGCATTTTGTGTCTTTTACTGTGATAAACTTACAGTTTTCTTAGCAGGATCACTTCCTAGTGTCCCCAACAGAACAGGAGGGAGTTGAAGGTTGTCAGTACCTTTTTGAGGTCCAAGTTCAGCTAACTCAGCCTCTCCTCCCAGACGTATTACTTCCTGTTAACAAGACAGTATAAATATTGCTGCAAGTTAAACTTTGATGACTCTAATAATCATTTCTTCAGTTCACTGATGAGACAGCATATCAAAATGTGCCATTTCACACCACATTTAATATTGATTCCAGATAATCTCCCCCCCCCCTTGCCCCCGTCAACCAATTAATATAATTAACACATTTTGGAAAAACTAATAAAACCATCAAAATGGAGTCAACTGGAAGCTAACACCAACAAGTTCACGAAATGAAAGCAATCAGCATGATTATGCCAAGAAAATTTAATAGCTCCAAAACTCTAAGGATTCCAGCCAGTCCATAATAAACAAAAACACTTAGCAGCTGCTCTAAATTTACCTCACAAGACTGAATTTATTTCCTGGCACTGAAACACACAGAGAACACCTTTCACCTTCCGTAAAGAAAGGAAAATATTATTACCGTAACCTTTTCATGTATATATGTTCACATGTTTGGCGCAATCTCTCCATCTGAACATACAGTGTATGATGATGTTTTGGATGGAAGGGAAATAATATTATACTTAAAACAAATTCTTATGCACGTACATAAACATTTTTTTTAGTTCATCAGATTATGGGTTTTTCCATGGAGGTGATGATTGATTACATTAATTAAACCCAGCCATGAATAATAAAGTATAAAATGCAAACACCGTACATCTTTCACATGATTGACCATCTTGACAATTTCATTCCTGTACTTTTCTTCAGTCCAAGCTGAAACACTTTGGATTGCAACAGCATCACTGAGCCTTTTCACATAAAGGTCCTATAAGAATAAGAGGGAAAAAAAACTGATGGAGAGTCATGTTCTTCACAATGCATGACTCCAGGAAATTGACAGTGTGATTTTTGTAACCAAGCTGCTTTCTACGAGCTGTTGATTAGCTTAAACAATTTCTTGGAATATCATTTCTGTAGTTTCCAGCTGTAACCTGATTGGTCAATTTTCTCTGCAGTATAGTCCTATACAGTAGGTGTGCATTATGATTCTCTTGGTGGAAGGTTGTGTACAAACATCATTGCTCTGATGGCTTACGTGCGAATTGAGTTGTACATATTTTACATTTTTGTTAAATCTATGATCCATGTTATATCTGCCAACTCTCATGTATTATGCATAGGCCTCACGCCTGTGGACTCAAGACATCTATCTCATGCATAAAGGGCAAATTCTCTCACCTGACTCACAAATCAGGATGAACTGCTTTTTAAAAAAGGACTTACCGCGTGGCACGAAATTTTTGCAGGAGTTTATTTCAGCAGATTGGGGATTTTTTTGTGTTTTGCGCGAACTAATTTTTTCGATTAGGACAGATTGGTTTTTCTTGCTAGGAATTAATTTTTGCAATTTTCAGAAAGTACCCAGCATCCAGCATCGATAATAGTTTCATTTTTATTGAGTACGTGAAGAAAGAAAGAAATACAGATTTTGAAACAATAAACCAGTATTACGTTGTTTTTGACAAGTTGTGATTGAACAGACACAATTTCTTAGTATTATACTTTTGTGTAGCGAATTTAAGTAAGAGAATATTTACTCTGGAGGAAATTTTTGCAGGAAAAATGTTTGCGGTAATTTTTATTTGCGGGAACATATAATTGCAGATCACTGGAAAAACAGTAAAAACTAGAACTCGCAAAAATTTCGTGCCACATGGTATTTAATGATGAAAATTCATTCAGTTTCTTGGGAAATATTCCAAAAAAGGCTCTTAATGTTGACTTTGTGTCTGAAATGTATCACAATGTACACTAATTTTTTAATTATAGCTTCAGAAGTGCTCAAAGATTGTCAGAAGATCTTCATGATCAGACACTTTCAGCAACATTTCAGGCTTGGAACACTTTAGAAGTAGGAAATCTTCGGAAGTCACTGGGACATTTTTGGCAATCCCAGTCATAACAAGACAAAAATCCCATGTATTAGCTTGTATTTGACTTAGAAAAAGTTGGCAGGTATACCATTTTGCCATTCCTGGCTACATTCTCATGCAAGTTTACCCCAATGTACGCTAGATTAGCATCTCCTATATCCTTTTGCAATACAGCTTTATAAAATAATCAGTAAAACACCATAACAGATCGAACGGTGTCAAAGTGCCCCACCTTAATGCAAAAATTTCCCAAACAGGGTTTGAGTGTGAGGGTGGGGGATTTTTTTTTAATTTTGCTGGGCTGAGTCTTTTTGTGGGGCAATCAAACACTTTTGGGGGGTTGGATTTATGAAAGGACAGCGTCTTATTAACTGAAAAATCTCCACAACTAGATCAACCGTACTAAGGGAATGCAATGTGGAAAAAAAGGGTAGCTTATTTTAACATTCTTTAATATTTAGAGTTCTCCTTATTTGCATAAATTATTTCATCATCAGTTTACTGTAAGCTTAATTTTAATTTCAAAAGGCCTACGAAGATAAAATATTATTCAAAAGACCCGCGGTGGTTGTGTTGTAGATTAGACTGTCCGAACATAAAACGATGAACATTAATTTATTACACCTTTCATTCAAGTCTCATTGAGCTTTCACAGTACCTGGTGCTGATCCACATACCTGCAAAGGAGGAAATAGACCAATTTAAAATCAAGAGACAGTGGTACGGAACTTAATAGAGTCACAAATATCTTTCTATTCAAACAGTAATACGCCCAAACAGAAAAAGGATCTAAAACTTACTTGAAAATTGAATCTAACTTCGGAGAAAGAGACGCCATTCCGTGCGAGTGAAGTGAACCGGAAAGCAAGTGTGAGTAGCTCGTGATGGAAGTGTTACTTTACTCTGGGGGTGGTGGCAAACACCGATAATATAGCAAGTCGTAGAAATTTTCCTCTAATGTATCTTGCTCGAGAAGAATGAATAAAACACAATAAAAGTTTACCCGTAAAAAAAATTAATAATAAATTACTACTTACTATAAAAAACATTCTTACTACCAGTGAGTTTAAATGCATTTATTTTAAATTCCAACGTCACCACCCTCCTTAGCTTCCAGCCTTACGACCTCTCACCCGACCCTCCAGCTAATCGGCAGCTTATCTACTTCCGCCAACTTCCGCCCTCACTTCCGCTCTACCTCTGCCTCTTTTTCGTGAGGCAAAGCTCCAACCCAGCTCTCCCTCAGTCAAGTTCACAAACGTCGAAAAAGGCCGCCATCTTGAACGCATGGTGAGATGATCGAGCAGTAAAGCAAGATTCCTTCAGCATCCCTGCACTTAATTACCAACTTTCCTGGGCTCCAAAGAAGACTTCGAAGTAACCAGCATTTTGATTTTGTCTTTTTTTAGTGTGAAAAGTTCTTTTGGTATGGATTACTGTCTGCCACTGTGCTCGGTTGTGTTTTGTGTGCAAGTGGTCAATGGGTAATGCTCCATGTATATATGTTTTAGCTTTGGTACTGAATGAGTGGTGCTTTATGTGTTAACAGGGTGTCCTTGCTGTAATCTTTAGTATTTGTGTGTCGTGGGCCTGCTTGAATGTCACATGTTCGTCTTAATGCGTCTGTGGGAATGTAATCGGGATGTTTGTGGCGTCATTATTAATTTTTGGTTCGCCATACACTAGTACATGAAAGTCTTTCTGGTGAAGTGGCTGCGCGATTTCTTGTTTTATTGTGTCCCTCCTTAGATTTGATGATTTGATGTTATTATTTTATTAATCTGCTGTGCACACGTTATGCTCGCAACTTGTGGTTTCCTTCAGACGTTATTTTGTCAAGCTCAGCACAAATAAGCTTATGCTAAAAGTAAAGTTGGTTTTTGATTCCATTAAGAAAAATCAAACATATGTTGTTTGGGCTTTTTGGGACATGTCATCTCCCCTCTACCACCACTACTACTACTGTATCTAAGTTTAAAATTTCATTTCTGACAACTTTATATCATGATCAGGTAACAAGTTGAGGATCATTGTCGCAGGGTTGATAATTGGCTTACCACAGCAACAAAGTTAAAAATATAGATTATATTACGTATAGTTATACAGTAGGCCAGGTTGTCTGGGAATTCTTCTGGAGACACATGGATATCATTATATTATTTTAATAGGTTATTTGGTTTGTTTATGTCCAGTGAATACTTAAACTATTGATAATAGTTGTATTGTATGTTGTAACCTGTCTTGTGTGCTAGTTAGCATGGATGTTGGTTTTGCTGTTAACTAATCTACCCTCTCAGTAAAAACATCCTTGCAGTGTTAATGTTTAAAGCTTTTATTTTAGTTTCTTGAAGTCTTAAAGTTGTCTTGTAATGTAAAGGGAAATCTGATAAAATTTAACCTCTCCAATCAAACCCTCATGTAAAATCACCTTTGTTTACTTCAAGGAAAGGTTTTTTTCTGTCATAGCTGCAACCCCATTTTATTGTGAGGGATTTTTCTAGATGTTTAACCTGTCCATCTAATTAGTAATGAAGGTGAAAATAGTTGGATATCCACTTAGCTCTGAAGGGTCAAAGTAGATATCCACTGCCCTTCGTGATGTGAAGAATTTATTTTTAGTGCTTACTAAACCAGGAGACAGCTTTAATAGGGAGAAAACTGCATACAGAAAATATAGAAGAATATTGGGAAATGATTGGCAAATATTACAGTTGCTGCCTTAGCTTTTAGCAGCCAGTTAAAAATCTCTTGAAGACACTATGCACTGGTTTAGTTTGCTTATATCATTAATATTCTGTATTTTTATTTGTAAGACTGCCTTGAATTTGTGAATTTTTTGTTGTACATTTGGTAATGGGTTTCTTATTCAACTTCTTATGCATCCCTAATTAAGTTGAGTTTAATTAACTCAATCTGCCTACCATATTGTCAAGCAAAACCTGTCATATAAATTTTTTCCCTCATGTGGATAGTTACTACTTATTATTGGCTAACTCAGACCCAGCTAACTCGAAACTCATTATAAAACAATTATTTTATAATCATTTCAACTCTCACTCCAATCCTATGGCACATGTACATGTAAATGCTGAGTTTTGCTGAAATAAGTGTTAAGACCTAGACCCACAGAAACGTCAGCAGAAGCAAATGAACTAATTTTCTAAATATTAAATAAATAAGGATACACCAAAATACACAGTGAAAACTCAAACTGCAAAGCTTCGGTGTTGGCATTAATAAGAAAAGGTGGTAATTGCATTTTGATTCAGAAGTTGACATATATCTACATATTTTGATACAGTTGAAGAACTCAGTAATGTGCCATAATACTGTTGTTGAAAGTTCTTTGAAGTGTACAAAAATAGCCAGAAACCCTAGGACAATCTCGAGCACTTGCCAACTTGAAAAAAGTCTTTCATTTTTGCATTGATATCAAGTCCCAATTTGTGCAGACCTCTCTGAAGTTGTTTTGAAGTGTACGAAAATGGCCATAGATTGTGATTGAATTTACTATACGTGTTTTTGTTGTATTTTACTCTGGGACAATCCTAAACATTAATTTTGCTAACTGAAAAAATCTTTCATTTTTTCTTTCAATTATATTGTAACTCGGTTTTAAAAAGGGATATAAGATATTCTTAACTTATAACATTACAATTCTGAATCTGAAATATTGAATGCCTTTTAATCTTTTTTCACTTTCATCTGTTGATTGTTTTGTTTCAATGTGGTTGTGCAAAAAAAATTTTTTCCCTGCAACACACACCCAAAGGAATACTAGTGCACAATGTTATATGTAGTTCCAATGCTACAAGGAATGTACCAGAAAACGTATGTTTTTTGCATGAAAGATTTTTGGGAAGTGAGATTAGGGAGTCATCTTTTATTGTGTATGTGTATGTGGTGAAGTTATTTTGAAATTCTTGCATGGTGCATGCCAAGGTGTGTATTCATTGGATGATGACCCCTTGTAAAACAACAAGAAAAAAAATTCTTTTTAAATGAACTTTATAATGGACTTGCTTCCACCTTGCTTGGGCCATGGACTCCGAGCAAAGTAGTTCTTGGAATCAGAGCCGCTTCGATGAAGGATTATTTGAAGGATTGAGTTGCGATCAGCATATGTTTTGTTAGCCAGGGTGTCAAGAGAAGCTATCTGGATTTGCTGAATATCTACAAAGGACATTTCAAGATCAGCAGTGTGCTGTAATTTAGTGATTACATTCTGTGTTGAAGATAATTTAAAGAACTCCCTGTGGTGAAAGCAGTGATTGATATTAATTTCATGTGCCATCTGGATGTTCAGTGAAATAGTGGAGTATTAAATTGTGCAAGCATTCTGTGTGCTTCTTGGAGGCTGTTCACTCCTGCTTTCTCCTAGCTACAGTTGATTGAAGTCTTCATTGTGATTAACTTGTGTTGTTCCATCTGGATTCTTCAGTCTTTGCAGGAGAGGAGCGGAGAGAAACAGGTAAGACCATCAGTTGTCCAAGCAGATTTACCTTTATTATTATTATTATTATTGTTATTATTATTATTATTATTTAATATCAGAGATGGATAATTCTCTTTTGTAATGACTTAATTTAAGACACTGGACTGCCTGCAAGAGTTATTGATCACATCTGAGCCACGAGGAATGTACACAGTGATTGTATTTTTATGATTTACCGGTATATAATTCTTAATGTCGTATAGTGCTTAATTTGTTTCTTACATGTACTTTAAATATTTCTGTAAATTATGTACTTATTTTTAAAGTTCAATAAAATTATTATTATTATTATTATTATTATTATTATTTTAATTGTTGTTGTTGTTGTTGTTGTTATTATTATTATTATTATTATCATCATTATCATCATTTGCCTTTTTTAGCTTGCTAGTAACTTATGGCAAGGCTCGAAAAAACTTGAATCCCTGCTTGTCCTTTGGCCATGCTGCTCTTGCATTTTGATTGCTCAGGGCCACTTCTTGCTCATCTTAGTTATAATAACAGGGACCTTATAGAACTACGACGGAGATGGCAACAGTAGCGTCAAAAAGCAATAGGTTTAGTTAGCAAAAAAACAACTTTGCACGTGCATCACACTTTTTTATACATTTCTTTGCCCTCCCTGCATGACTGCAATGTGAAATGACGAAATTTTAGGTTTTTTTGAGGATGTGAACCACAAGGCAATAGATTCTACCATCTCTGTCTAAACATGGGCGTCGTCCCCTCTCTTCAGCTCCATCATAAATAATTACCTTCTTTTAAGTAACCGGGCGAGTTGGGATAATTGCGAAATGGTTTGAAAAGCTGCGGATATTTTTCAACGGCATTTTCATGGACATCACCGTTGTCAGATCATAAGGTCCCTGATGATTTTGTTACAGGATGACTTGCCTGGACTCTTGCCCACTGGGCAAGTACAGTTTGTAAGCTTTACCCAGCAAGAAAATCCACTTGTCTTGGACTACTGGACCGGACTTTTTTTAACCCCTGGAGACACCCTAAAACAAACGATTGTTCACATTTGAATTGTTCTTCGGGTCACCTGACCATTCAATTCACCCTGTGTGGCCATGGAGGGTAGTTATAGTCCCTTAGAAAACACCCCCATTCCATTGGAAAATTTTAACTTTAAGGACCCTTAACAGTGCATTTCAGTACATTTTGAGTGACCAAGGAACTAATTTTAGCCATGAGGATCCATGGTACTTTCAGGGTGGGCCGAACCTATGTTTGATCATCTGGGACTGGTAGAAATTTAGTTCGGACATGTAAACCTTTGACACGACTGCTCCATGGGACAAGCAAAGTTTTAATTAGAGAAAATACGAAAACAGTTGAAAATTGGCTTCAAATTACCATAGAATTATTACTTCTGTTGAGATGTAACTCACTCCAAGGCTCAAAATTCAAGTTGATAAAAGTGTAATCACAAAAACTCTGAAAAATTACAGTCTTCATTGTTAGTTTTTCTTTCAAAGCAACCACGAAAGAAAAAAAAGCTTGGATGCTACCAAAGAATTAAGTAAACCAAGAGAAGATCATTAAATTCCCAAGTTTTGAGCAAAACTTTTTGGACAAGACCTCTTGGGTTTCTGACAACCAAATTTAATATAGTGTTTGTCCAAAGGACAAGTGGATAAGAAAATGTTTTCTTACTCTGACCTTATTCACCCAGATTTGCTTTATTGTACTTTCTGACTTTCAGCCTGCCCCAAGATTAATTGTGTCTAGTGATGGCATCACAGGGAGAAGACTGCTATTTCTTTTACTACTCAACCTGTGCCAGGGCAAGTAACTCTTAATCCTTTAATCATAACTATAACAAAATTATCAAATCTGATTGCCTATCAACTGCCCTGATTTCAGCCTTAATTGGACAGTTTAATAGGACGGTACGCGTCATGCCTGAGTAATTGGACAGTACGCGCCATCACGCGCACGCTTAAATGGCTTTTTTTTTTCACTGCTAGCAAAACAAATTTTCGAATTTCTTGTGTTTTGATTTAAAAAATAACCTGTTATATCACAAATTTTGTTAAAGTTATGATTAATTGGTAACAGAACTTCGTGTTGTCCAATTCGGTCTATAATCATACTCGTGATTAAACAAATCGGACTCCTGCTACGCGGTCGTCCGATTTTGTTGATCACTCGTATGATTACAGACTGAATTGGACTCCACTCAGTCCTGTTACCTTTACTAAACACCAATATCCACGTACGAATTCTGCCGACTGATCTAACTACATGACCTTAAAGAGTTAGTTCAGAGAATCAATAAAAGATCAAATCATTCTACTAATTTTTGTAACCTTTTCTTTTTATCTTTTATGGATGTTGTTAGGAGAAAGTTGATGTTGTTCACTCCTGAGACTTAATATAAGGGTTTAATAAAACCCTGACTTGTAAAGACCAGTGTAGTGATGCTGTTATGGCCAGTAGAATGTGCAATATAGCCTTTTTGAAAAAATACCATAATACTCTGTGTTGTCCTTCCCAAATTTTGCATGAGCATAAGCATAATTTGTAGTTTTCAATTTCTTTTGGGACTTACAGTTGCCCCAAGAGAAATTGAAAACAATGCTCATACAAAATTTTGGAGGGTCAACAAAGAGTATTGAGGAATATTTGAAAAAAGACCTATTTGGTTTTTTAACCTTTACATTTTTTTTTCTTTTTTCTAGGGTGATGAATGCCCTTACAGACATGAACCAGCTGCATTAGGAAGTGAGACTACTTGCCGACAATGGGAGCAAAATCGATCATGCACCCGAGAAGTGTGCAATTTTAGGCATTCGCTCATAATGGTATGTAGAAACTGTTGTTTAAGTAGAAATATCAAGCCAGAAGTTTTTAATAAGGTGTACTTGAAGATAAAATTGCTGTTATTTGCTTATTCTTTATTTATAGAAAAACAGATCTGATACTCCTTGTTACTATGAATCTCAACCAAGTGGATGTCTGAAACCTTTCTGTTCATTCCTACACAAAAAGCCTAGACCTAATGGTCAACCTCCGTCAGTGAATTCCAATGGTCCTCCCCCCATGGTACATCAGGTCCAACCAGTTCAGCCTGTTTTATCACGGCCTGTGGCACCAGTTTCTCTTCATGGTGCTGCTGGCACACCAGTACCTCACCCTGTTGCACCCATACCACACCTTCCTGCTTCATCAGTACCCAGGATGGCATCTTCTGGAAGTCAGGATGCAATGAAGATTCCTACTATATCATCTCCACCCAGACCAAGGCTACCTATACAGCAGAATATTGGCATGCGGAGACCACAAGTACCTATGCAATATCCTCCAGTTAGTAGTAGGCCAATGCTTGTACCACAGCCACCTCAGATGGTCAGGGCACCCCAGTTCCCTGGGCCTCCACGTCCAGCAGGCATTGTGCAACCTATTTCGGCCAGCAGGGGATTCCCTCCCTCAAGGCCAGGCGGTCCAGTTAGTTATCCAAGAGGTATGTTTCACTTTTTGCTCTCAGAACTGGGCAACATGAAACAGCACAAAATATCAAATTTCTTCTTGCAAAGTAGTCAGCAGTTTGTGTGTGTGTTTGCACAATGTCAAAGTCAAAAGGAAACTGCTACTTAGGCTCGATACCAACCGCTGTTCAGGATATGAGCCCGCACTCCTCCCCCGAGCAGATGGTTGGATGTATGACTTTGCTATTGTCAATTACCACCAATGAGATTGTTGCCTGCTCAAATCGAGAAGGCAGCATAAATTTATTTTCCTGGGCGGAGTTGTTCAAAGCTGGGTTAAGATAACCCAGGGTTAGTGCAAGATTTGAATTCAGATTTGAAAGCTTAAAAAGCATTTCAGTTTCAATTCTTTTTGTCTACAAGTTGATGATTGGAAGCTCTAAAAAAGCAGAGAAGATTGTCCGAGAAAATGCTTTTGAACCCAAGAAAAAGAAACCCGGGGTAAATATAACCCCGGGTTAAGTGCTAATTGGCTTTCTAACAACTGGGCCCTGGAGTAGATTTTAAATGGCGGATGCAAAGGTGTTGTATAATGTGGCGTGCGATAGTGTTCTAGAGCATTTTAAGCTTAAAAACCTAAATTATTTACAAAGAAAAGTATTAGCTTAGAGAAGCTGTTTAGTGGTAGGTAATTTTTTGACATTCAACCAACCAGAACTATGGTAGTTGACCTGAAAGAGACAACTGTGAAGTCCATCGGTAATGCAAAGTCAATGCAAGTACAATCAGCACATGTTTCTGCTGATCTTTATAGCAAATACCAAAGCGACAATGAGGCATAGCACAACGTTTGTTCAGTATTTACTGACATTTCCCATTTCCAATGTTTCGTAACAATGCAGACATTAAATTTTGAATTTAAGTCACAGACACAATAGGTCACTCACGCGTCCAGCCGTCTCTTCTCAGGGAGGACCGAGAGAGTAGCAGAAATCGAGCCCAACTACTATAGTTGCAGACACATGTAAAATGTGTAGTTTGTTACGTTACACCGTGAAAGAATGCACCCCCTAATCTAGGTTTATGTGCTCAGGGAGAGGCTAACCTTGAGGAAGTCATTCCTTGGGCCCTTGGCAGAAATCAGAACTGGCTGGCTGGCTGGAACGGTCTTTTTGACAATAAAAATGGGCAGAGTAGAGGTTATGTGTTGCACTGTACGACAAATAATGATAATCAGATGGCAGTTGCAAGGGCAATGAATTGCATTCTCATCTCAAAAAGGTTTTTATGAACTGTTTAGGCAGAAATCACGCCTTTTAACAAAATTTAATTTTCCCCTTTAGAAATCATAACACCGCAGCGGTCATATCACCTTCCACCAATGTATGCAGGAAGACCAGAAGGTAAATGTGATAAACACAAAACAGTAATGCTAAAGGTTGGAGCAGTAGAACTTTCCAGGACCTAGAAAAAAAAATGAATTCCAGCTTGTCCTTTGGGCAACCAGTCCTCACATTTTTCTTGCCTTGGGCCACTTTTTGCTCGTCTTCGTGAGTGATTTTGTTAGAGGATGTCTTGCCTGGACCCTTAGGGCAAGTAAGTTTTTCAAGTTACACGTACTTACCCAGCAAGAAAATCTTCAAGTACCTTGCCCTGGACTACCACATAGGACTTTTTTCAAGCATTGGTTTGATCAAAGGCACCAACTTGAAGTTGATTAATCTGACAAAATATGAAATCGTGCACCCTCATTTCAATCTTGATTATTCCTTTGGATCAAAATCAATGTTTTTACTCATCTCCTTCAGGTTTAGCAATGCCTTTCATGCCAGGACTAATCGAGGAGAAATTTCAAGCAGACGATTTTGACAGTCTGAGTGAAGGTATTGCACTGCATGATGAGACCTATTAAGGCTGAAACCAGAAAGAACATTTGACAACATTGAAAAAAAATTGATTTCTTGATGGATTATCACAATAATTATCGTGATAAACCATCAAAAGTCAAAATGTTTTACAATTGCAGGCAGAATAACCAGAGTAGCAGGCAGCAAAGGCCTAAACTTTGTGGTTGTTGTTTTGTTTTGTGTTAAGTTGGCAGCAAATAAACATTCCATAGAGTACTAAAGTGATGACGTCATAAAAATGAAATTTCTGAAATTATGGGATTTGTCAGGATATTCTGAAAGAACAATGTCCAAGAGGCCTTCTTGCCAAAAATGAGCATTTGGGGGCAAATTGTCTCTGAGATCGTAACCCAGTTATACCCAGAAAACTCCATACAAATCCTTCCAATTTTTTTTTGGGGTCAACCCAAAAAGAATTTAGAAGGGTTTGTATGGAGTTTTGTAAGCATAACTGGGCTACGATCTCAGAGACAATTTGCCCCCCAGATGCTCATTTTTGGCAAGAAGGCCTCTTGGACATTGTTCTTTCAGAATATCCTGACAAATCCCGTAATTTCAGAAATTTCATTTTTATGACGTCACACTTTAGTACTCTATTGGAAGGGGCAAAATGGCTGGCTGTGGGCTCATTTTGATGTAGCTGAAATATGTGGTCCTTTCTCTAGGTTCAGATTCTTTCTCAAGTAGTGAAGATGAGGAGGAACGGAAGAGATCCCGACAAGCACCTCGCCGCAAGGTTCATAGCAGCTCACATCGGGAAGTGTATACAAATAACAGGAGAGAGGTACATGGCAGACGAAAACAGCAGTCCAACAAACCAAGTCGTGGCAGTAAGTTACTACAAGAGGAATGCATTGCTTTGTAGAGTAGCAGCTTCAGGCTTGTTCATGAATAACTTCATGAGTAACTTTTCTTTTGTTTTGCTCCTAGGAGATAGAAGTGATGACAGAAAAAGACCTGATGCCACAAGAGATAGAAGCAAGAGTGCTGCAGGTAATTGTTTTGCAAGTACAAATGAGCAAGGAAAATTTGCCAGCATTGGAAAGGTTTTCAGATAGGAAAATAATGGTGTGTTTTTATCGTTTGAGCTAAAGGAATGTGATTGTATGTACAATAAAAATAAAGTAGTCGTATATTAATAGTGAGTTTACGCAACAAGACAGCAGAAAGAAGAGGACAGCAAAATGCTTGTGTGTAAGATACGTGACAGGCCTATTACTTGTGTGTTTTGCGGTGATCTTCACTTAAGTTAATGTTTTCTGGTCTTTGACAAAAAGACCGGTTTAAAGGAGGGTGAAGTTCGGCGGAAAAGATTCTGAAACAAAATTGTTGTCACGCTTGTCACACAAAGTTTGCTGTCTTCTTTTCTTTCCCGTCCTGTTGCGTAAACTCACTAATACTAGCACTGCCTCCTACATGTAAGGTGTTTGTTGTCGACAAAAGTAATAATCATTTGAGAGTGAAATGACATGGGTTTTACAGTGACTGTAAATTCAGACTTTTTAATATTGATTATATTAGGAGGTCAATCATTAGAATACAACTAAATTTCACAGCTAGTTACTGTAACATAGCCTTGGTCACACAAAGTTTCGTTTCTGCTACCTAGATCATGACACCTTGAAGCAGTAATTGACTCTTAATAAGTAGTTGAGGTTGCATGAGAGTGTGTGAGATCATGACAGTTTAGACCATAACAGGGTGAATATGTCTAAAGGTTCAGCCAGCATGAGAAAACTACTGGTTTTGAGTGTTAAGGAGAAAAAGAGAAAAGCTTGAACACTCTTCAGTTCTACGGAATGAATGTCATTCTCATATACACTAGGTTTGTACAGTCTTGAATTCCTGAAAAAGTCTTGAAATTTGCAAAGCAATTTTCCAGATGTGGAAAAAGTTTGGAAAATGATAAAAAAGTCTTTTTTTTCCAGAGTTACAAGTTCTTAATAAGTGATTTTGTTTTTCCCGTAGTCCAATCCCACTCAATCTCACCCGTAGCCAAAACGTTTCATCACAAAATGAGAAGTTTCATAACTCTCTTGGTCACCGTACATTTACAATGCATCATGAAAAAAGCTTGGTTCCTGTGTTTTTCAAGGTCTCTATTGATCACCTATTGTAACCTTGAGTCTGGAAAAAAAATATTGTTTTGGAAAAAGTCTTGAATTTTGGATCCAAAAATCTGTACAAGCCCTGTTTTACAGTACTCTGTATTACGTTATATTCGTTTGCACAGAAGCTGAACGTGACAGGTCTAGGACAAAAAGAAAACCATCAAAGAAGTCACCACCAAAACGAGAAAATGAAGCACGTGAGAGGCAAGAGACCAAGCAGGAAAGAAAGCCCAGTTCATCTAAAGATGAAGAAATAGAAGGAGAAACTGGGAGAGATAAAAGTTCAGAGACAAAGGAAGCTGATAGTTCAGATATAAAAGTGAAAACNTATTACGTTGTATTCGTTTGCACAGAAGCTGAACGTGACAGGTCTAGGACAAAAAGAAAACCATCAAAGAAGTCACCACCAAAACGAGAAAATGAAGTGCGTGAGAGGCAAGAGACCAAGCAGGAAAGAAAGCCCAGTTCATCTAAAGATGAAGAAATAGAAGGAGAAACTGGGAGAGATAAAAGTTCAGAGACAAAGGAAGCTGATAGTTCAGATATAAAAGTGAAAACTTTGGAACAAATATTGAGAGAGAAAGCAATAAAAAAGATGGAGGAGAGAAGAGCTCTGAGCAAAGATGTGAAGCCAGATGAGGATAAGGAAACCAAAGAGGAAGAGGACTTTGATGAATCAAGTAAAGATACTGTGAAGGATGAAGAAGAAGAGTCTGATGTTGATGATGCTGAGAACAGTAAAAAGTCTCCACTCAAGAAAGTAGTTAGAACCAAAACCAAAGGTGATGATCCCCAACCTTCAAGTGAAAAGTCGACCTCAAGTAAAAAGGTTTCATCTATGGTTAAAAAGGTTCCTCCGAAGAAAGTCATTAGCTTAAATAATGATGACAACAATACTCTAAATACTTCAAGTGAAAAGACAAGAACTTTAAGAAAGGTGTCATCAAACAATGAAAAGAACTGGCCTCTTAGGAAGATAATGAGCACCGTTAACAAAGACAATAACAGTGTTCAGTCCTCTGCTGTTGCAGAAAAACATTCTATTAAGGATGAAGATGACGGTAGTGGGGAAGAGAAGGAAACAGAAGGAACAGAACCACCATCTCCGTTTCAAGAAGTCAGGGTGAAAACATTTGAAGAAATAATGGAGTTGAAGAGAAAGAGAAGAGCTGTGAAGGAAGCTTCTGAAAATGCAGCTGAAGAAATGACAGTCAGTACTACAGAGGAATCAAAGAGCACCACAAACTTGGTGTTGAGCCCTCCAAAACGCTTGAAAAGAATAGTGCGGAAGTCATCTGATGATGGAGATAAGCAGGAGTCAAAGGCCGAGTCCTCACAGGGTGCGGAGAAGCCTCGGCCTGTACAGAAAAGAACTGTGTTTGTGATGGAAAAGCCAGCCCCAAGTAAACAAAACACCGAGGATGGTGAGTTGTTTTTTTGTTTAACGTGCTGTAGATTTGGATGTTTGTTACACAATTCCCTTCATTTTTCTCCCCCTCCCAATCCTTTACATTTTATGGTTCACTTTCCCCCAATACTCGCAAGGTTCTGTGATACATGTATTTTCCTTTTGCTTCCTCTTAGTAACTGGGTCCATCATGCTCATGGTATCCAAGGAAAATCCCTGGTCCCTGGTTATTAGAGGCAACCCTGTCCTTCTTACATGTCACTTATGTGTGAGATGTGATTAAAGGGAAAATGGAAGCTTTGCATGTATCAGGGAAACCAGTTTCAATAATTTGGCATTATGTTGATACAGGTGGACTAACTGGTACAGGATTAGTGACAGGATTAGCTCAGTCGGTAGAGGGCTTGACAGCGAAGCGGAAGGTTGTGGATAGGATTCCCCAGGTTAAACGGATACTCAGGGTCTTAAAATAACTGAGAACTTTAGCTATGGTGTACTCTCTTTGCACTGCAAGTGGCTGGACCTTCACATGGCTTGGATGATCACGTAAAATGACAGTCCCGTTTCCAGTTGGAGATGTGAAAATAGTGTCCCTAATTAGTACTTTTATCCTAAATGCATTGACACTTAAATAAAGTGCTTTTTTTTCAAAGGCATTCACTTTATATTTTTAAGGTGTTGTGTCTTCTGCTACCACTAAAGTGAACAACAAGCCACAAGAGAAATCCCAGAAACAGGTAAGATTTAATTCAACATAAATTCAATAGTTGTAGTGAAGCTTAGTACACTTACTTTTCCACGCCTCCTCATAGAGAAAGTGATAATTTTTATGTGCTTCATTCAGGGCTGTCACTAATTTTTAAAGTTAGTGGGAAACTAGCCATGGATTTTACATTTTATGTTGCCAACATCATGTTTCTTTCAATGAAGTCAGTTTTGACATTTCTAATGGACAGGCAAAATCCCTGCCCCCAACCATTAATGACAACTGTATTAACCCTTTAAGCCCCAATATCCATATACAAATTCTCCAAACTGGTCTTTATACATTTCCTTAAGGAATAAGTTGAGAGAATTTGATAGAAGATCAAAGTATTTTCTCTTAGGTGATCATTTTATTAACTCTCATAACCATTTCTCTTGGTAACATATGGATATTGTTAGGAGAAAATTGATCTTGGTCACTATCGGGACTTAAAGGGTTAATTTTATTTGAAAGCTATGCTTCACATTATTACTCTATATTCTTAATGACCAATTTACGGTTTGTGAATTAAGTCTGTATTTGGAAGAGACAGTGCAAGTGGCACAGTATAACTGTAATGGTCCATCCCATTTTAGCCTTCAGTAGCTGATCGTCTTGGAACACAGGAGGTTGATGTGAAAAGCTTTGATGTGATAATAGCAGAAAAAAGAAAGCGTGCTTTGCAGAAGAAGAATGACACTCCAAAAGACGGAGAGGCTACCAGCAAAGAAGAACAACCTAAAAATATTAAGTTACAGATGAGCAGACAGACGAATTCTTCAAAACCTACTACAGGTAAGAAAGATACATTTACGTTTCTCAACTATTAACATTAGAGTCAACAGTTCTTTTGACACAACTTTTCATATGTGGCGTGATATGAAGCGGTTGTATCATCACGGATGCTGAGATGGTAAGTTTGGTTGATTTAGAGGGAAAGATTGTGGCCCTCATGGTGCAATAGGTTATACAGGCTGTGCTTTGTCTGTAGACTTGGCTTCAAGAACATTAGAACGCTACAGCAATAATATATTAAAGGGGTAGGAATTTGATCACCTAAAATAGACCTGTGATGGGGCATTTAAACAGCTTTTTGGCTTGAGGAGAGGGAATTTGAACACTTATTTTTCAAAACTTCAATGCACTGGGGTTGCCCAGAGAGGGGATGTTGAAGCCTCCATTTGACCGATATATAAGGCTGTAAGAAAGCTTTCGATCCAGGGAATGGAGGAGTTCTGTGCCCTTTCTTCACTGTCCACATTAGACTCGTGAGCTTGCTGGCAAGGTAAATGTTCAATTATTAATGATACTTTTAGTGAAACGTAGATTCCAGTAACATCTTTTGGTTTCCTTTTATTTCAGTGATTAAGCCAAGAAGAATCAAGGTCTGGTCAAAGACAAAAGAAGGTAAGATATTTTTTACTTAAAAAAAAAAAAAACAGGAAAGGGGGTTCATACATTCTTTTCTTGGTGTGTTTGTTCAATATTTCTTTGTTTTACAAGAAACTTGTTTGTTGCTTAACTTTATGGCAAGGCTAAGAGGACACTGAGAAAAGTAAATAAATAAATAAATAAATAATGATTTAGAGGTAGCAGATTCACATAGTGATTCGTCGTCTGCCATTCCTGGCTGAATTGGAATTTGAAAATGCTAGTTTTTGAGGAGAGGGGAAAGCCAGAGTACCAGGAGAAAAACCTCTCGCAGCAAAGGAGAGAACCAACAACAAACTCAACTTACATATGGCATTGATGCCTGGATCTGAACGTGGGCTTTAATGTGGGAGGCGAGTGTTCTCACCACTCACCATCCCCTGTATATATAACATAGTGGAAACAAAGTAAGCCAGTAATCTCCCAGTAGATCTTCTAGTCTTGGATCCAGACCTTTTATCTTCCACAACATGAATTTTCTGATAAGCTAACCCCACCTCTTTTCCTTGATGTCTGTCTGTTGATTCAATAGAGACCTTTAGATTCGGGGACGAGGACGTGGACGACTACGGGTTACCCTGCGAGCAGAGGCTACATTTTCGCGGTATGAGATGGCGTGCGAAAAGTAACTACTTTTCGCACGCCAGCTCATTCCGCGAAAATGTAGCCTCTGCTCGCAGGGTAACTACGGGTACGAGATTTGACTTTAAGTTTTTTCGCGTATTCTCAAAATATGGAATTCCCGGAAAGCTTCATTTTACCATTTTTCACTAGAAAAGTTATCACTGTCATCTTTAGTGAAGGCGGTTACGCGCTGTCCCGATCGCAGAATGATAAAACTCCTAACATTTGATGTCTTGTTCTCGTCACCACGACATTCGCGCGAAAACTCGTAGTAGAATGACGACGGCTACCACAGTTTTTCCGCCAAAATGACGCTGGCTCACACGCGTACATTACTTAGTATTGAGAAAATCTCGTCCTAGAATCTAAAGGTCTCTAATGACTCGCCCCCTACATTATAATTCCACAGATGTCACAACCAGCAAGGCAGATTCTACTCTTAAGGAACATGAAACACAAGTTCAATCTTTAGCAGATGATCAAAACGAGCTGCCTTTCTTAGAAGCATCTCCAGCGACAAGCTCACAACCTGAGCCTGTATCCAGTGAACTTGAGGCCGCAGCAGAGGTGATGCCTTGTACAGAGGAATCCTCCGCGGCAGATCTGAGTGTACCTGATGAGGACCATGACACACTTGACAGCAGTCCTCCTGATGTGGATTCTACTACAGCTAGTCAAGATGTGGTTGAGGAAAGCACTGAAATGGATGGTGATCAAGGAGAAGAGCCGATTGAAGAGAACAGCGAGACTGAACAGGTATGAATCTCTTGAATTTGTGTCTTCTCTGTTACTTGCAAGGAGTACATTCATGAGTAGTAAAGGATGGTACTTTGCCTATCCATCAAAGTTTTCTTGAATGCTGATTGGTTGATTCATGTCACGTGGGGTTTAATGTTCAATGCTGATTGGCTACTAGGGAAATTACCTTCCTAAACAACTAAAATGCTGTAACTATTCAAGAATAGGAAGAGCAGCAAAATGCTATTCAATGCGAGGGACAGTAATACTTCTGCATTCAGTCATCTTGTTAGATCTTACTTAAGGTATCAGCCACCCTTCAGGACCGTCCGCGCGCGGATCGCTGTAGCGTTAATTGTCTTTATAAAAACCCCTATAAACCATATATTTTTTAAAAGCTTAATAATTCCAGATTATGGATTTGAACAAACAAAAACGATTTACTTAAATGTGTTTCGAAATTAGAACGCTTTGTGTAAAAGTACACGTCTCTATAAATCTTGTTCCACTCCCGCCGGAAATAAACGGAAGAAAACAATTAACACCGCATTCGCTTCTCAACAAGTTCCACTAAAAAACCGTGTCTCAGATTTTTGACAAGTGCGTTTGTTTTTCTTTTATTAGCAAATGAAGTTGGGGAAGGCAATTAGTCAACAATCCCTGTGGAAAAAAAGCTCTAGCTTTAAAATGAAAGGTACGACTACGGGTTACCCTGCGAGCAGAGGCTACATTTTCGCGGTATGAGATGGCGTGCGAAAAGTAACTACTTTTCGCACGCCAGCTCATTCCGCGAAAATGTAGCCTCTGCTCGCAGGGTAACTACGGGTTCGAGATTTGACTGTAAGTTTTGTCGCGTATTCTCAAAATATGGACTTCCAGGAAAGCTTCATTTTACCATTTTTCACTAGAAAAGTTAGCACTGTCATCTTTAGTGAAGGCGGTTACGCGCTGTCCCGATCGCAGAATGATAAAACTCTTAACATTTGATGTCTTGTTTTCGCCACCACGACATTCGCGCGAAAACTCGTAGTAGAATGACGACGGCTACCACAGTTTTTCCGCCAAAATGACGCTGGCTCACACGCGTACACTACTTAGTATTGAGAAAATCTCGTCCTAGAATCTAAAGGTCTCTAATGACTCGCCCCCTACATTATAATTCCACAGATGTCACCACCAGCAAGGCAGATTCTACTCTTAAGGAACATGAAACACAAGTTCAATCTTTACCAGATGATCAAAACGAGCTGCCTTTCTTAGAAGCATCTACAGCGACAAGCTCACAACCTGAGCCTGTATCCAGTGAACTTGAGGCCGCAGCAGAGGTGATGCCTTCTACAGAGGAATCCTCTGCGGCAGATCAGAGTGTACCTGATGAGGACCATGACACACTTGATAGCAGTCCTCCTGATGTAGATTCTACTACAGCTAGTCAAGATGTGGTTGAGGAAAGCACTGAAATGGATGATGATCAAGGAGAAGAGCCGATTGAAGAGAACAGCGAGACTGAACAGGTATGAATCTCTTGAATTTGTGTCTTCTCTGTTACTTGCAGGGAGTACATTCATGAGTAGTAAAGGATGGTACTTAGCCTATTCATCAAAATTTTCTTGAATGCTGATTGGTTGATTCATGTCACGTGGGGTTTAATGTTCAATGCTGATTGGCTACTAGAGAAATTACCTTCCTGAACAACTAAACTGCTGTAACTATTCAAGAATAGGAAGAGCAGCAAAATGCTATTCAATGCGAGGGACAGTAATACTTCTGCATTCAGTCATCTTGTTAGATCTTACTTAATTCTGGTGATTATATGTAGGAGAAAAATATTCTAAACGGGCGCAAATTACCTTATAAAGGCCAATTTTCTTGTCTTTCAGTGAGGAACAAGGCTATTTTCGAGGAATTATTTTTTTTAGCTTTGGTTGTTAAATAACGTTCAAGTTTCCCTTGTTTTTTTCTGAACAGGAATCAGAGCAACCTACAGAGCAAGAATTGGTCGAACCACAGCGGTCAAAAGAGGCACCATCTTATGACGAAATAAAGAAGGCAGTGTAAGTCAACTAAAGCCATTGCCTTTTCATAACTGTGCTTTTATCGATGATGCACAATGTAGAGGAGCTTGGCCGAGCTTCCACCCAAAAACGTTCCCTTGAGCGAGTGAATATTTTGCTTTAAACTTTCGAATAGATCTTCAATTTAGCTTCCGTAAATGAGGTTTTTTATTGTGCCTAACTTTCTTACAGGTACTCAATAAGGCTATTCCATTAGGTTGGGAGCAAGATACTCGCTATGACATTACTTGCAGTCTTGGATTCGACTTGGGTGGCCATTAAGCCAAGGGTACAACGACGAAGTTTTTGGCCAGCGGTTAAGATTGAAAGTTGCGTCATGTAATAGCATACCGTAAACTGTTGCAAATGTTAAACGCGATGAAAAAGTGGGAGACTACTGCTGTGATATTTGCAGCTTAGCCTATGGACGCAATAATGCGCGTATAGGTAGCATTGCACCTTTTGTTTGTAAATTTCCACCGATATTTGCTAATGCATTCATCCTGGTTGTTAACTAACACTTCGTATTGTGATCTCTTAGTAAAAACTAATTCAGTTCTATTTTGCCTTAATGCAGAGCGAATGAAATGTCCAAGGAAGATGATTTCTTCGATGACTTCGACGTGGACCTAGAGTTGGGCGAAGACGACAACATTGAAATCGATGAACATATGAATGAAGACGATTTGCTTATGGAGCTTGACGAAATGATCAACCAGTGAAACAGGAAAGAAAGGGAAAAAAACCATTGACTGATAAGAAGTGCTATGAATGTTCCGAGTTGATTTATGGATGGCAAATCCTTGCCTGGGACAATAAGATGATCTTTTCTACTGAAGGAGAAAAGTCGTGGATTAAGTTTTTTGAGCAGCATGGAAGAGAGTTAATCAAGAACGTAACATGTTAAAGTGGTTTTCGTCGATCAAGTCGATCAACCTAGCCAGAGAACCGGGAAATGAAAAAACACTTTAAAGTGGCTAAGACAGTTAAGTACCGTTCCGTAGGTCTTGGCAACTCGATAATCCAGCGCAAGTTACATACAAGAAACTTAAAGAGGAAATCAAGCCTTTGTTAGAGTCGAGAAGTGACAATGTCTCTCCGGCATCGTGCTGGCTCGTAACTGTAAAGGGTGTTAACTTTTATGGTGTTCGCGGTAACAAAACGCTTCTGTGCATGTGCTACGACGAACTGGATGAAACACGATTTTATGTACACGCTTTCCAGATATTTCTTGATTTCCTTCAGGTTCTGTCAAGAGGCGATGCAGGAGACTTTGCTAATAAAAGGGACAAAAGTGATAATCAAGGATCACCTCTCACACTGACTATTTAATTTTACTTTAAGTGGAAGTATGTTTTAAGTGTACACAGCTGGGTCAAAAGCGTCCTGCGGACTAAACAGACAACTAGCTGTTATCGTTGTTTGCGCTACCGTTGCTACCTTTGTGAACTGGATGTTCTTGATTGCTTAACAATGTCCAGTGATGAATCTCCAAGAAAGCTTCCTCACATACGTGTCCTTGTTGCTCTAGAGGCGGTTTTCTTCCGCAATACGCCGTTTCTTTTCACCGAGTAAACACCATTATAACTTCTGTTAGTGCGCACTTCGATTTTTGCTAATGACGCAGGTCAAAAGACGGTGAACATTAGTGGGTAGCATTATCATCATATTACTAACAATGGTAGAGAGTTGCCTTGGATGAATCGGACCACTCATTCTGCTACACAAGTAACATGTCAAGAGACCTGTCCGATGCTGTCTTGCTCATTGGCTGCGAGTTGACCGCTAAATAAGCTGTTGCGCAGATTTCAGTGGCGCTACTTGCATTGTAACTATATTCCAGGCCGTTTGCAGCACGTTTCCACGCTTGGCGCGACACGATACACAAACTCCTGAAACATTGTCATACAAGAACGCTAACTGTTTAACACCAAAACTGAGCCAACTGTTGAAGTAATTCTCCACTTAGTCTTGTTGTCAACTTCGTGACTATTCAACTCAGCACGATGGCAGTGAATATTAGTGAATACCCCTCGTCTGCGTTCCAGTTTTGGCTTGGTAACGAAGAGTCAACTGCCTCAACTACTTCAAATAAAGCGACACGAAACGTTTGATTTCCTTGTTAGTGCACATTGCAGACTAAACAAGACCCCAAGCTGTGAAAAAAAAACAATGCTGAACGCGTGCGGTAGCTTACAATCGTCTAACTACAGCAAACGTCTGTTGCGGAACGTGTTCCCTGTTCACTAAACAGAAGCGAGCAGCGCCAGTCGCAGGTTCATCATAATTCGTATCACCAACGAGTTATCAGTCACCAAATGGCCAAGTTTGCTTCTGCACCGACTCATTTTCGCAGCCTAAATAGGTTACAGTCATGGCTCCATTTATGTGGTGGAATTGCTGCTCATCAAGAGGAACGGTGAATTATGTTTGACTCTATACACTTAGACGTGATGATAGTACACCCACAATTGCCGTAGAATCAGTGGTGGAAGCGTGCTGGCGAAAAAGCTTAGATCTTCTTAAAGTACGTCATAATATAGCCACACACTGTCACAAGATAAGCAGTACGTCAAGACGCCAATGTCCTGATTTTCAACATTTTACCCGAACGGAAACAGTTATGCTATACTGACTCTTTGACTTGTCAACTCCAGACTAAGCATTTATATGACATTTCAATTGATTTGTAACAGTAATGGCTACTTCTACGTGAACATTAAAGATTGGACGTTATACAGCATAGGACAGTCACGGGAGATGTTGTTTTAAAAAGGCGTTTCGCTGTCGTTGACCAAGGCTGCTCCGACACTGTGTGACAAGTTTGAGTCAAGTGCAAAGTTGGCAATTATTTTCAACAGTGTTGGCGTTACATGTGCTCCGTGAGTTCTCGGTAACTAAGACTAAACTGAGTTAAATATTTATAGTGAAGAAAATGCTGGCGTAAAGGGATAGTGTCAAGGAGTTACGCTGTGGACAACTTGCCACTTGTTGGATGAACGTGATTGACTAGAGTGTTCACACTCTGCTTATCAATTCAAGTTGTGATTCCTTTCGCTTTCTTTTGCTCTTCTTTGGCTTTCTTTGATGGAACCATTAAGGTAAAGGTTTACGGTTCTATTGTTAGTTCTTGTTGCTCGCTATTTTGTAGAATTCGTTTTTAATCTTTTCGCGTCGTCGATCTTGGCAGGTTCTGGATCGATACATCCAAGACACGTTCCCTTGAACTCCTTCATATGGTTTAGGAAAGTACTTTTATTTTTTGAAAGTGTAAAGAAAGGAGTTAAATACGATAATTACTTCATACCACAATAAGACTTGTATATGTTAGTTCAGTTTGAAATATTGTAATTACTAGCTTAGTAAGGTTTAAAAGTTAGGTTCACAATCGTTTTGAACTTCGGGAGAACGATGAATAATGATTCTCCCCCGCAGTTTTGTGAAATCATGTTGAAAATTCAGTTGTACATATGAAATGCTACAAGAAAAGAAGATCTATATCAAAGAGCAACAATTTGTAAATAGATTCCCGTAAAAGGTACTACAAGGGTTTTTCTACAGTACTGCCGGCGAGAAAGAGTTTTATGATACTTAAACTTAAGGAAGATTACTACGTTCCCTTCTTTTCTGAAAATCAGAGGCAAATGCTTCGTTAACAGCGTTCACTTCTTTTTCTTTTCTTTATCCGTATTTGTAAGGAGAAATAACTTAAGCTTCCTTTTTTGCCAATGTCAAACTGTGTTTTTTGTCACTTAAAATTTCTGCTTAAGAAGATGACTGCGGATCTTACGGTTGAAAGGATAAAAACAATAATAAAAGTGCAAAGACAAAACGCAGTTTTGTATTTTACTCTAGTCATCATTATGTCCCGCTTTTGATCTATTCACCTTCTTTCATGCAGATTTAATCCAATCAGAAGCCAGCTGGAAACTGTCCTCAACTTCTGATTGGTTAATGTCTGCATGAAAGAATGTGAATAAATTAAAAGCAGTCACACTTTTGGGTTCCTTGCTGTAACTTTCTCACATGGCTATCGAGGTGGCCGTAAGGTGGGGTTTCACTGTATTCCGGATTCCAAAACTCAGGTTTCCATATCCATAAGAAAAATTTTTTTTCCGATTCCGGAAAATTCCTGGATTCCCTTATATGGGGTGATTACAGCGTTTTCACATGACGTCCCGTCCGCCATGTTGGTAATGCAAAGTAATGAAACGACGCCCATGTTGGTGTTCCACATGAGTCCTGTACGTGGGAGTTGAACCAACCTTTTTCGTCTGTAAAAACTTTCGTTTGATCCAATTAATTTGCACAGCTGCTGGCCACGTGGGTGAAAAACGCTTTATTGGGCCAACTTCTTCAAGTTGAAGATCAACCGTGATTCGTCATCGAAAATTCCAAAGAAAACTGAAGCTGCTTCGTTTTCTTTTTAGCTATGAGAAAGTGGAAGATCTCTCTCTTTCTCTGTTCTTAGCATCAGAAATAATTACTTAGGATACCGTAGTTTCAACTGCTGCTCCAAGGCTAGTTTTGTCTCCACTTCTGCTCCATTTCGCGCCATTCGGACGCTATTTTGAAACGTGAAAATAGCAGGGAGCTGTGGCCACCCAAACCGGTCCTCGGCGTATCGCAGAAATGAAAAAGGCATGCACACAGAGAACCAGTGCAAACCTTACGCTACGTTCACACAGCGCTCGGCGTTTAGTCGTTCCGTTCACACCGCGGCATCACCCTAACCGTACGAAAATTTAGACGTCTAGTCGTTCAAAGTTCCTTGTGAACAGCGAGAAAATGATGAGCGGTTCCGTGTGAACTAAGTAGCCGGTCTTTGCCTTGGATGAATCGGACCACTCATTCTGCTACACAAGTAACATGTCAAGAGACCTGTCCGATGCTGTCTTGCTCATTGGCTGCGAGTTGACCGCTAAATAAGCTGATGCGCAGATTTCAGTGGCGCTGCTTGCATTGTAACTATATTCCAGGCCGTTTGCAGCACGTTTCCACGCTTGGCGCGACACGATACGCAAACTCCTGAAACATTGTTATACAAGAACGCTAACTGTTTAACGCCAAAACTGAGCCAACTGTTGAAGTAATTCTCCACTTAGTCTTGTTGTCAACTTCGTGACTATTCAAGTCAGCACGATGACAGTGAATATTAGTGAATACCCCTCGTCTGCGTTCAAGTTTTGGCTTGGTAACGAAGAGTCAACTGCCTCAACTACTTCAAATAAAGCGACACGAAACGTTTGATTTCCTTGTTAGTGCACATTGCAGACTAAACAAGACCCCAAGCTGTGAAAAAGAAAACAATGCTGAACGCGTGCGGTAGCTTACAATCGTCTAACTCCAGCAAACGTCTGTTGCGGAACGTGTTCCCTGTTCACTAAACAGAAGCGAGCAGCGCCAGTCGATGGTTCATCACAGTTCGTACCACCAACGAGTTATCAGTCACCAAATGGCCAAGTTTGTTTCTGCACCGACTCATTTTGGCAGCCTAAATAGGTTACAGTCATGGCTCCATTTATGTAGTGGAATTGCTGCTCATCAAGAGGAACGGTGAATTATGTTTGACTCTATACACTTAGACGTGATGATAGTATACCCACAATTGCCGTAGAATCAGTGGTGAAAGCGTGCTGGCGAAAAAGCTTAGATCGTCTTAAAGTACGTCATATATAGAAACACATTGTCACCAGATAAGCAGTACGTCAAGACGCCAATGTCCAACATTTTACCCGAACGGAAACAGTTATGCTATACTGACTCTTTGACTTGTCAACTCCAGACTAAGCATTTATATGACATTTGCAACAGTAATGGCTACTTCTACGTGAACATTAAAGATTGGACGTTATACAGCATAGGACAGTCACGGGAGATTTTTGTTTTAAAAACACTTAAAGGCGTTTCGCTGTCGTTGACCAAGGCTGCTCCGACACTGTGTGACAAGTTTGAGTCAAGTGCAAAGTTGGCAATTATTTTCAACAGTGTTGGCGTTTGATGTACTCCGTGAGTTCTCGGTAATGAAGACAAACTGAGTTAAATATTTATAGTGAAGGAAATGCTGGCGCAAAGGGATAGTGTCAAGGAGTTACGCTTTGGACAACTTGCCCGTTTATTGTATCCTTCATTACTACGTGCTTTGCCACTTGTTGGATGAACGCGATTGACTGGAGTGTTCAAACTCTGCTTATCAATTCAATTTGTGATTCCTTTCGCTTTCTTTTGCTTTTCTTTGGCTTTCTTTGATGGAACCATGAAGGCAAAGGTTCACGGTTCTATTGTTAGTTCTTGTTGCTCGCTATTTTGTAGAATTGGTTTTTAATTTTCACGTCGTCGATCTTGGCAGGTTCTGGATCGATACATCCAAGACACGTTCCCTTTAACTCCTTCATATGGTTTAGGAAAATACTTTTATTTTTTGAAAGTGTAAAGAAAGAAGTTGAATACGATAATTACTTCATACCACAATTAAGACTTGTATATGTTAGTTCAGTTTGAAATATCGTAATTACTAGCTTAGTAGGGTTTAAAAGTTAGGTTCACAATCGTTTTGAACTTCGGGAGAACGATGAATAATGATTCTCCCCCGCAGTTTTGTGAAATCATGTTGAAAATTCAGTTGAGGAAAATTGTACATATGAAATGCTACAAGAAAAGAAGATGTATATCAAAGAGGAACAATTTGTAAATAGATTCCCGTAAAAGGTACTACAAGGGTTTTTCTACAGTACTGCCGCCGAGAAAGAGTTTTATGATACTTAAACTTAAGGAAGATTACTACGTTCCCTTCTTTTCTGAAAATCAGAGGCAAATGCTTCGTTAACAGCGTTCACTCCTTTTTCTTTTCTTTATCCGTATTTGTAAGGAGAAATAACTTAAGCTTCCTTTTTTGCCAATGTCAAACTGTGTATTTTGTCACTTAAAATTTCTGCTTAAGAGGATGACTGCGGATCTTACGGTTCAAAGGATAAAAACAATAATAAAAGTGCAAAGACAAAACGCAGTTTTGTATTTTACTCTAGTCATCATTATGTCCCTCTGTTGATTTATTCACCCTCTTTCATGCAGATTTAATCCAATCAGAAGCCAGCTGGAAACTGTCCTCAACTTCTGATTGGTTGATGTCTGCATGAAAGAATGTGAATAAATTAAAAGCAGTCACACTTTTGGGTTCCTTGCTGTAACTTTCTCACATGGCTATCGAGGTGGCCGTAAGGTGGGGTTTCACTGTATTCCGGATTCCAAAAATTAGGTTTCCATATCCATAAGAAAAATTTTTTTTCCGATTCCGGAAAATTCCTGGATTCCCTTATATGGGGTGGTTACAGCGTTTTCACATGACGTCACGTTAATGCAAAGTAATGAAACAGCGCCCATGTTGGTGTTCCACATGAGTCCTGTACGTGGGAGTTGAACCAACCTTTTTCTTCTGTAAAAACTTTCGTTTGATCCAATAAATGTGCACAGCTGCTGGCCACGTGGGTGAAAAACGCTTTATTGGGCCAACTTCTTCAAGTTGAAGATCAACCCTGATTCGTCATCGAAAATTCCAAAGAAAACTGAACCTGCTTCGTTTTCTTTCTAGCTATGAGAAAGTGGAAGATCTCTCTCTTTCTCTGTTCTTAGCATCAGAAATAATTACTTAGGATACCATAGTTTCAACTGCTGTTCCAAGGCTAGTTTTGTGTCCACTTCTGCTCCATTTCGCGCCATTCGGACGCTATTTTGAAACGTGAAAATAGCAGGGAGCTGTGGCCACCCAAATCGGTCCTCGGCGTATCGCAGAAATGAAAAAGGCATGCACACAGAGAACCAGTGCAAACCTTACGCTACGTTCACACAGCGCTGGGCGTTTAGTCGTTCCGTTCACACCGCGGCATCACCCTAACCGTACGAAAATTTAGACGTCTAGTCGTTCAAAGTTCCTTGTGAACAGCGAGAAAATGATGAGCGGTTCCGTGTGAACTAAGTAGCCGGTCTAAAATTCGTTCTGTGCCCGTGAACGTGGCCTTAGTGCCCACATTCCGGCGGGAATAGTTGTGTTAACTGTAAGTTTAC